AGATATTAATAAGGAACCAGCAGATCAAGTAGCTTTTGGAATAAAACACCAATTTTTTTAAAATTAAACACTATCTAAAGATTTGCATCGAAGCGTTTATTTTTGATAGTGATTTTAATCACTGTCAGATATCATTTACTTGATCCGACTATGCCACGTCACCACTGTGCCGCGACCCCCCTGTGCTGGGTTTTTTTTATTTATTTTTCACGTTTAAAAATTTTTAATCATTATTTTATCTAAATACTGTTAATTAAATCAATTAACAGTGTTTAAATAAAACATAGAAACACTAATAGAAAAAATAGTATTTTTAATGATTTTTTTTGAGGTATAATATTTATTTTTTTAATAAGAAAATATGTACATACATGGCTTGGTATTTGTAAAAATCTCCCAAAACTTATTAAACAAAAGTAACACATAAGTTATGTAGCATGATCAAATATACATGACCACTTAAAATATGTATATGAATATTTGATTTTTTCTATAGAAATTTCAATGTAGTTGCTCCAAAAGTAGCTGTCCCAGGCCAAAGAACCGCAGTACTAGTCAGCTGGAATCCGCATTGCAACCCCAAGGACGTGACATTACGACTTTTACGTCAAATTCCTAGCGCGGAACAACAAAGGTCTACCGATGAAGAAGTGTTGTCACACAGTACAATGACAATAAATGGCGAGTAAACTAAAAAAATATTTTTTATTGGTTAATACTATTCTTTATGCTCATGAAAAAAAAAACAAATAATAATCGATGTATGAAGGTAATGATAGTAATTACTAGAAATAACACGGACTATGCAAATTATTCACTGATTTAAGTAACAAAGAAGAGCCTTAATGTTTCTGATGAATGTTTATTTAAATGTGTAGTTCAGGCACGTAGACAAGGGTGGGCCTGGGTGGGCCTGGCCTCCCTTAGATTTAATGTGGCCCAGGGCCGGCCCCCCCAAATTTAAAATTCAATTATTTTTACGAATTATCAAAAACGTGCTAGGCCTTATATACATTGAAATTATTATTAATTTGTGATTACTTTTGAGTAATACAGTTATTATTATGGCTGTATTTTCATTTTTATATTCATAGAAAACGTTATTTGAAAAAGATAACGTTCTAGACGTTGCAATAGCAATTACTCCAAACGTGGTTGTAGGTAAATTTTTTTAACTCTGGTCCAACAAATGATAACAAACTACGAAGTATCTGCATTGATTAGAATCTAGTTGATTACAAAATTCAATAGAGTATACTCTATGAAAATTTTTTTGATAAATCTTATCTTTAATTTGTTTCTTTTAGCTTCGATGCGAAGCTGAGAAGGTATTGGTTTTACTAAGATGTGTTTTTTTTTTTTGTGTCTGTTACCACTTTTTCTCACTGAACCAATTTCTTTCAATGATACGTCAAAAGATCACAAATTATATCTAGTCGAAGACATAACCCTCAAAAATTGAAAAATTTTCCCTCGTTCCCCGTAAATGGGGGAAACCTCCAAAAAAATTACAAATTTAAAAATCGCTAATTTTCGAAATTTTTAAAATTTTTTTTACTTAAAATTGCCATAACTTTTTTATATAGATGCATGATATCGTTATTTTTCATTTGATATATTTGTTTTATAAATCTGACCCTTTACCTGCCAACGGGGGGGATTTAAAATGACAACTTTTTCACAAAAAATTAACTTTTTCCACTTAAATTTTTAAAATGTTCCGGAAAGTCTGACACTTTTATATATATCTTAAATTAAAGCTAATGTAATATACTTTAATTTGAAAAAAAGAAATTGACCTCTGGACATGTCTTTGTGGTGAAAATGGCTACCGACTTCTATTTTCGTGTGAAAATTCTTGATTTTATTTTTTACATTTTAACTTTTTAATATTATAACTTATTGAAAAGTGTATAGATCAACATTATTTTTTATGAGAAATAATATTTTTTAATAATCCCTTTTTCATTCGACATACTTTATCTTAATTAGGATATTAATAATGAACTAGCAGATCATATAGCTTTTGGAATAATCCACCAATTTTTTAAAAATAAACACAAATTTTGAACTTGTAAGATTCATAGAATAGGATACTGTCTAAGGAGGAGTGGAGGGACCCCCCCACAAGCTTTTCATGGGAAACAAATTATGGAAAATGATACAAGGGCCCAAAATTGTTGGCCCCTCCAATAAACATTTTCTGGCTACGTGCCTGGTGTAGTTCATAAGAAAACTGTATAAAACGTTTTAACAGTTCAATTTTTAACATTATTACAGGACAAAAGTAAAAGTTTTATTATAAAAGATCAGTTTCCGGATAGTCCAGATATGAGATTTGGATTTGTCAGTAACATTTGATAACATGTACTAAAATAAAATCGTTTATTAATACAAAAAAAAGTAATATTTCTTTCTGTGGCTATTTTTCAAAAGTTGATATGTCAATTTTAGCAACTTTTTAGAAGACAAGAAACAAATAAAACATTTCTATATTTGTGTAGTCAAAATTAACAAATACGTTAAGAAATTTCGGAAAATATGCAATTATTTCATTTAAACCGTTTCAACTATTTGAACAATATTAGCGGAAGTATAATTTTATATTTTTCTATATAAACATAAAAGTTATTTGTTTATTTAAAAACTTCAAATCAACAAAATCTGAATATTTTTGTAAAATGTCTTTTTAAGCCTAAAATATAACTAATATTTTAATAATATTAAAACAGAAGCTTTACACGCTTGTTCAAAAAGCCACAACCTTTAAGTGTGAACACGATAAAGGTATATGCTATAAAATGTCATTCTGATCACGTACACAACAAACTAAGTAATTTTAACAAATTACCCTAACCAAGCACTCTATCTTTTAAACATTAATGCTATGTTGTGTACTATTATTCTTTTTACTTAGATAACAACTAAAATGTATTAATTGAAATACAACTATCAAGTTTGGATTCGAAGGTAGCTGTAGTCCCCTTCTCATATTATTGCTGCAGCTCAAAATATAAAAAATTAATTAATTTTTAATTACATCTGTAAATATTAAATTTGATTAAATGAATTTTAAATTAATTAACTAAATAATTAATCATCGATAGATTGTTTCTATGGTGTTTTTATTAAACAAAATTTCTTATTCAATGTTGTGTTGTAAACCTTACTTTAATTTGAGACACATTTTATATGGACGTCTGTGATTCGAGAGATTTCCTTTTCTAATATAGTTTTAAGAAAACTATAACTACGTGCATACATGCGTGTATAAATAAATTTAAGATTATTAAGATGTAGGTAATCACCAACCGTAAAAGAACAGCTTAAACTAATTTTGTTCTATATAAATAATTTATATATGTAAAACTGTATTATTCAGTTTTACTAAAAGTACTTTATACTTTATAGTGTTGTTATTATTATTTTTAATAAATTATGCACAATTAATTTTAAAGGACTTAAAAAATAGGGTGATCACGGCGTAAAATTGTGTATAATTAACTTTTAATATCATAATAATATATATAAAACAAATTTTAAATTTTAATTGTTATTCCAGTTTTTACAATAATATTTCAAAAACTGGAATTTGTAATTTTATGTTTTGTTTTTAATTTAAATGCTGTGTTAGTGTTTACGCACATTCAGATCTTTAATAAGACATGGACCACTCAATACTAAAAAATATAGGCGGTAAGAAATACGTATTTCCCTGGACGTTTGCGAGAAATTTAATTTCAAAAAAAAAAAAAAATGCTCTTTGATAATCATCTAATGAAAATCAGATTTAAATGCTTCTTTTAGTCAACTGCATATGAATACACACACAGTTATTATGTCTACGTATTCTAATCACTAAAGAGTTGAATACCATCACATAATGTAGTGGTACATATAATTTTGGTTTAGGTCGACTGAAGTGAGTAGAATTGAAGTGGTTCGGAATTCTTTTTATCCTTTCTGAAGCTTCACCGAATCCCGTCGGTTCAGTGACAGGTCATATTTCACATACCTACTGGTCATTACTCAATCTCCAATGGTCTATCCGAACAACCCTTAATGCCTGTGAATCGGCAATCCTACATAGCCTCGAGAGTTTATGCTCACTATATAAAGCTATTATAACGAATACTAGACTAACCAAATATATAATTTTATACCGAGTGATATTCTTATCATAACCTACTCAATTAATCACAGAATAGAAATAATTTAAATATTTTTCTTTGTTTATATTATTAGCTATGTAATACTTTCTAAATTCTTCCTTTATGCCTAAAAGGGTGCCAACTTTGTTTTTTCAAATGAGAACACGTATTTTGAATTTAATTTTCGAGGTCTTGTTTTAATAGTTGTTGACATTTGAATTTTTACAAATTTTAAATCCTTTATTAGTTATAAAATATAAAATTGTTAAATTTTTGAGTTAATATACATATATGATAAATGAGGGATTACAAACAAAGGTCGTAGTTGATCTCTGTAATTAATTTTCAAAAATTGATATGTTAGTTATAGTAATTTTTGCAGGAGAGAAAAAACAAATAAATCATTTATATATTGTTTAATGAAAATCAAAATTTCTTAAGTGCAAAAAATGAACTTTAAATTATGAAAATTGACTTTTTAAGCATACGATAGAAAAAATATTTTTTATAACAATTATAAAAAATATAAAATACCCATTTTTGTGACAAATTAGTAACCATAGATTTAAAATAAATTTAAAAAGTAAGCTGTTAAAATAATAAAAATCATCAAATTTATACCATATTAAATTACCAGTTGAGTACTATATTTTGACATTGATATTAGCTTCCAATGTGTTGCCCATGTTATGTAAATTAATTTTAAAAACGCTTGATTGAAATCGTATTTCATTTAAATTGTTTTATGCTATCAAATTTTTTAGTTGTACATTGACGTGTTATGAAGTAATAACAAAGGGTTTCATAACACTCCATGACAAAAATAATTGTATTGGGAAGATACTTTTTTTTCGTTTGCAAGGACTATTGACAATCTTTCTTATGTATAACACTCAAGACGAAACCATAATTACGCTATTGATGTTTTATATCAGCAGAGATTTCTAAATTCAAATTTGATATCAATTTTTAACCATTATCTTCTATATAATAGATAAAATTTCATATATTTAAATGTGTATTGATTATTTTACAGCCGACTGGTAACTATGTTTAACGATAAATTTAAGATAAGACATCAATAAACTTATTTCAACGCGGTATTATCTAATACTGATCTGTTTTGTATCTTAATACAAGTAAAATGGATAATGTTATCAATACTTTGATGATAAATTCATAACTGTATGATCACTGAATTCTACGACTTAATTTGAGTATTATTAAAGCGTATATAAATGTTTGATCAAATTACAACTTTACCATGATTTTAAAATGCCTCTATGAAACATAAATATTTTTATTATAAGTAAATATATTACACATTATATCAAATTTGAATTCTGTTACCTCAAAATCATATATATTGACATATTTTACAATATTTTGTAAAATACGTTTTCGATTTTAGAGCACTGTCCAACGTAAATATCTCAATGAATATTTATTTTTTCTATTAAATTAAAATAATTTACAGTAAATTCTTAATGTTATAAAATATTGAAATTCAAATTTCGTTATAATATTTTGTAGTTGTTATATTTTATTTTCAGCATTTTTGCTTAACTTTTCTACATACAAAGTTACTCTCTTTTGTTATTCTAATTTGATCAAAAAATCAGAATAACCGAAAATTGTCCCATAAAAAATTATTTACGTGACCAGAATTGAATATTAATATAATTTCTACAACAAATAAAACTTTTATAAATCGGTCTTAGGAAATTATAATTCTTTCTAAATAATATTTAATGCAATTTTTATGGGTTATTTTATTCAACTTAAGTTTAATTCGATTATCTGTATTTGTGTGTGATTATAGGAGATGGCATCATTCCGCTTACTGTACCAACACAGACTCCAGATACTTGTTACTTACAAATATTGACAGACTGCGTAAACAACACATCCAGTTGTACGTTACAGACTACATCTAAGTTGCATCTAGTTGGTACCATTCGCGATGTTGTTGTACAAACATCTAGCAAATTTTATAAACCTGGAGAAATCGGTAAGCGCATTTTTAATAAAGGTATAAAATGTATTATAATTTTTTCTATTCTTTAAAATAATCTAACTAAGAAAATGACTGGTCAATAACAACTTTTGAACCAGTATTTTGAAATATATTATTATTGCTTGAAGTGCTTGAGGATATATCCATGTTTACAGTTGAGTTCTGAAGATGGACTCTGCAACGAGTCCGAAACGTCAGAACTCAACTGTAAACATGGATATATCCTCAAGCACTTCAAGCAACTAGACAATCCATGAAAGTTTTAGCACATTCATATATTATTATTTTTTTAATATCAAGGAAAGAGTAGAGTGGTTCATAAACGGCCAAAGATAAAAAAAACAGACTCGCCAATAGATTATTTATTACCAATATATTGCTAAGAAATTGAATAAATTTTAAAGAAATATCCAACTTTTACTTAATATAAAAATATTTATAAAGTGCAACTTTTTTTTTTATTAAATAGTTAAATTTTGGCTTTTACCTTTGGATCATGATCTTCGATTGGCTGATGAGATCACAATGGATGTTTTTATTAAAGACCCTCATGGTATTAAGGTGGCTCTGTGGAATGATGTTCCAACAAGCTACGTAATCCCATTCAATTTTATTCTACCAGAGTTAGCATCTTTAGGTGAATGGTCCGTAGAAGTTGAAACAGAAGGAATTACTTTTAAAACAGTCATAAATGTTAGCAATAATAGGGGTGCAAATGACCCCTCCAAACGAGAACAGACAATTACCGAAGAGCATTTTGTTGAATTAAGATTTGGTCCGGAAACAAGACACAAATATAAACCTGGATTACCCTTCCAAGGAAAAGTAAGCACAAATCAAATTTTGTTTTGCATTACTCATTTTATTCTTCATTTAACATTTTGAAAAAATCAAATTTTATATGTATAATTTATAAATCCAGCATGGTGTAGCTACGACAATGTTGGAACAAATATAAATGATATTTGACAGTGATTAATATCACTATCGTAAAAAACGTTTCGACGGGAATCTATTTAATTTTACAAAAATTGTTATATTTATTTTTTTTTAATTTCTATTTCTGTATCTTGTAAATTCACTTAAATACTAAATACTTGTTAAATTATTTGCTTAATTTAAAATAAAGTTTTGTCAGAAATCTCGAATCATTTTTACTTAGACGGCGGCCGAATTCTTGAACAATCATGAGATGGTTTTTATTTATTTTAATTTTGTAGTATACTTCAAAGATATTCATTTTTTATAGGTTAAAAATTGTTAGACATTCTACAACATTTTCAAAAATTGAGTTGAAAAAAAATTTTTTTTCATGGATGATTTCTTCCAATACTGTGCTTAAGTTTTTCATTAAATTTTCATAATAAGCATACTAAAAGAGAGATGATTATCACTAATATATTCTGTTAAAATTTTATAATGATTAGTGTATTTCTGAATAAATTATAGTAATATTAAAAAAAGGCAACGAATTTCTATACACATTTTACGTTATTCTGCTTTAAATTTAAATAATTATAAAAAAATTATCAAGAGCACATTTTTTTTTTTTAATCATAAAGTACTTTTAAAAATCTTTAATTTGGTGTAGGTTAATATCGCAGATGTCATGATATATTTTCAAAAATTGAATTTATTATTATTTTATTTATATATTTCTTATTAGTAATAATAAATACTAGTCAACTATTAATATAATTTTTAATTTATAATACAACTTATTAGTCTATTTATCTTTTACTTCCTCTCTGAAAATCTATGCTTGTGTTAGAGAGGATGGGTAAACCTACATTGCTCAGCGAACCCTGAGACACGACAACTGAACTAAGTAGGCCTCCGTTTTTAATTTAATAAATTATTTAATTATTATATACTTTATAGTTTTTTTTTCCAGTAAATAACTATTTAATTAAATATTATTAATAGGTAGAAGCAATGAGTTCTGAAAAAAACTTACGCGTTCGTGTTAAAGTATTTGACAACTCTACTGCTATCTATAGCCAAGATGTTGAGATGTTACAAGGTGAGGGAACATTTGTAGTTCCAGCAGTCATTTCTGATAGTGAAATAATCGTTCTACAAGTGAGCATATTAAAATAAAATCATTCTAATTTTTTTTTATCCAATTGATTTATCTAATTTGCCCTAACAGGCTGAACTAGTTTCTGTCGAGGGGAAAGAAATTGAAGGCCATTACGTGCTAGCAAAAGAAATTATAAAAAAATGGAACTCAATATCAGATTGTTACTTATTAGTCGAAGGACTAGATCATACATTAGTGGTATGCAGATGCGAGTATTTCTATAATAAATTTACAAATATGTATAGATCAAATATACTATATAAACTGAAACTTTATGAAAAAATCTACATTAATAAAACAATATAATTTCATGTGTTATAGGCTAACGAAAAAGTAGAAGTTGTAATACTATCATCTTGTCCATGCAATCGTAATATAAATTATGTTGTAACCACTGATGGACATATTACATTTTGGAACAATTACAAACCAGATGTAAAAATGACTAAAATAATGGATCAGGTTGATATTTGTCGATTCAATTTAACGTAATTCACGAAAGTATAACATTACTAAAATGGATATATTATAGATTAATATAAAATTGATTTTAGTTTTAAAGTTGATTCTGTCATGGCACCAACAAGTCATTTATTAGTTTATTACACAACTGACGATGGTGAAACGATAAATGATGTTTTAAGTTTCAACGTAAAGCAAACAGACCCTAAAGTAGTAACAAGTTATAAAAAATTTAGTTGGGAAATTGATTTTAATTTCTTAAAATATATTTAGGTTAAAATAACACCACAAAAAATTAGAAAAAACTGGTATCCAGAAGAACACATAAAAATTAATATAATGGCAGAAGAAAGCTCGATTATTTGTTTAATAGGAGGCAGAGGCACAGAAAATAGTACCCCCAATAGGTTAATGAAACTTAAATTTCTTAACTACCTAAAAATATTAATGCAAGATTTATTTGTGTCAATAGAAATACAGGAGATCTTCTTGAATCGGGGCTATTATTTTTAGAAAAACATGTAAATGAAAAAGTAACAACTTCTAAGTTAAACGATATATACCCTAAACATCACAGTTTTTTTGATACCTTTTCAATAGAACAACTTTGGATCTGGAAATGTCAAAACTTTACGTAAGAATTTTACAATTTTAATAATATTACGATTTTTAAATCAATAATATCAATCTCATTAATTCAGCAATATATCATCTGATTTTAAAATTTATCATTGCAAAATTATATTATTGTTTAAAGAGGAAGTTTACTAAAAAATGGTATCGACGTACAAACTCCTTCAAAAGCTGGTAATTGGAAATTACGTATGCTTGCAATAGGAAATTCAGGTCTCAAAATTACCGACACAATAAATATAAAAGTTGTTAGTACATTAGAAGTCGATGTACGTTCGCCTGTTGAGATTAATGTAGGCGAAACAGTCCAAACAGATATATACGTTGCTAATAATGTCAACTCTTGTATGGATGTAAGTATTGAAATAATTCATTTTGTAGATAATTATTTCATTTGTCACATTAAAATATACTAAATATTATAATATAGTATAATTTTCTAAATATTAAATAGATATAATTTATATCTACTATTTTTTCAAAGGTGAACGCACTTCTTTCACTTAGTGAAGGAGCAGTATTTAGTAGCTCAAACCAACCTTTTATCGCAGAGAAATTGAGATTAGGTGCTTATGGTGCAACATCATTGATTGTTAAAATAACTGCTTTAAAATCAGGAGTAAAAAATTTAACTAGTAAGATATTTAAATACATATAAAAAAACTTTAAATTACCATCAATATACATTTTATTTTAAATTCTTATTTGTAGTTGATATTTCTGGATTTATAAGCCAAAAATGCCATTCATTAAGTGATATCAAACAACTAGAAGTGCCTGTTATAGGTAATTTATCTGCTAGTTCTGTAGTAAAATCTATCTCCATCAATGTTCATCCAGAAGGAATTCAACATCAAATAACTAATAGTGCCTATTTTTGCGCTAATGGTATTAAAAATAAAACAAAAAATAACATTTATGACATATCTAATTAACTATTTATTGATCCATAGAACAACTTGTCGTATCAACAACTCCGGATTTTCGTTATCAACATGTAACAGCACCAAAAAATCGAGATGGAATAGTTTTTGAAATTCAGGCTAAGAAAAGTGCTCATATTCTTTTAAGTCAAGAACGAAAACCAACTACCATGATGTATCAAATAGTACTTGGTGATTTAGAAAATTCAATTTCATGGATTGGTCGAGGAAAACATGGTAATAATAATTTTTTTCCTAATATTTTAAGCTAAATTTATTTGTTTAGGAAATGGAGTACACTTAATCAATCGAAATACACCTGGAATATTGTCAGAAGAAACACCTCGTACTTTTTGGATTAGTTGGGAAAAAGGAATACTTGCATTTGGCTACGGACAAGAAATACATCAGTATCCTCTACTTAAATGGAATATGGATAAAAAAATTAAAATTAATCATATAGGTTTTGCGACTATTGTAGGAACTACAGGACAATTTAGAGTTTGGAATTATAACAACGAGGCTGGTTTTTCTCAAGTTTTACATTTGGATACTTCAAATTCCGTTATATCAGGAACTGATTCTGGTACATTGGTCATAACCGGAGGACTTAATTTTCCATACTTTGTACAAAATGATCCGAAATTATCTACAAGGTGTCAAAAATAAAATTCAATTAATAATATATAGCAGTACGTTAATTTTTATTTTTGTTTATAGCTTACTTTCATTTCTTCAAATATTTACACCTCTTATTACATTTGAAAATAACCAGAACGAAACTGAAGAAAATGAGTTAGTTAGTGTTTTGAGAAAAAACATACCAGTTTTACTTTCATACAAAAATAAAGATTTCTTATTTGGAGATCATCCTAATGTTCCATGCTTTTGGTAAGAACAATATCCATATACAATTTTAACTATATTATAGGATAGAAGGGATAATATAATTTAAAAAAAAATAAATTTGTAGGTGTAATATTCGTGTGCTTGAAATTTTATGGAAAAGTCAATCTCATATTGGTGTTGACTCGGATATTATTAAAGGTCTGAAGAGTTGGATAAAGAAACAGGTTTTTGATGACTTTTCAAAAGTTTTGCCAGAAAATAAATTCAAAATGTATCAAATTATTGCCGCTGCTGATACCTTAGCCACTTTTGTAGAATTAGGAGTTGAATCTGAGGTAACTTTACATAATATAAAATCATGGCAATGTTATAACTCGAAAAAAATTACATAATTGAAACAACTATGAAAATATTAAATTATATTTTAAAAACATTTAATTAAATAAATCTTAATGTATTAAGTTTTAAGAAGTTGAGGAAAAACTATTTTTAAAATCCTTTTATATTTAGGAACAGTGGATAAAATTATTATAGGTAGACTGTAGAAAATACAGGGATCTTTAGTTATAAAAGTAAAAAAAATTTAAGAAATTCGTAGTCACGGACTCAAAATTTTGTTAAGTACACTAAAAAAACAATTATGGTAAAATTTTAGTACGATAAGTTAACCTCTTTAAGTGCTTCAAATGGGTTGAAGTTATTCAAAAATGGATGAATTATATATTTTTGAGTGTACGTGCTTAATTTTAATGTGAAGTAAAAAATACAAAGAGCTATTATAATGTATAATGTTAAATGTAAAATCGAGACTTTTCACACAAAAATAGAATTCAGTAGCCATTTTCACCGTGAAGAGAAAATAAAGTCCGAAATTTTTTTTTTCCATAATAAAGTATAACATTAACTTTAATTTAATATATATATAAAAGTGTCAAATTTTCCGGAACACTTTCAAAACTTAAGTTCAAAAAGTTATCATTTTAAATACCCCTTTGTAGGCATAAAGGGTCAGATTTCTAAAAAAATATACCAAATGATAGGTAAAGACATCATGCATCTATAAAAAAATGTTTTATTGATTTGTTCTTTTTTAAATAAGTTATTGTAGTTTTAAGTAAATAAAATTGAAAAAATTTCGAAAATTAGCGATTTTTAAATTTGTAATTTTTTTGGAAGTTTCCCCCATTTACGAAGAACCATGGAAATTTTGAACACTTTCAAAATTTATATTGAAAAAGTTAATTATTTGTGAAAAAGTTGTCATTTTAAATCTTCCTCTGTGGGCAGATAAAGGGTCAGATTTATAAAAAAAATATATCAAATGATAGGTAACGACATCAAGCATCTATAAAAAAATATATATATTGATTTGTTTATTTTTGAAAAAGTTATGGCAGTTTTAAGAAAAAAAAGAACTGAAAAAATTTTGAAAATTAGCGATTTTTAAATTTGTAATTTTTTTGGAGGTTTCCCACATTTACGGGGAACGAGTGAAATTTTTTCAATTTTTGAGGGTAATGTCTTCGACTAGATACGATTTGTGATCTTTTGACGTATCGTTAAAAGAAATCCGTTCGGTGAGAGCTGAGAAAAAGTCGAAACAGACACAAAAAAAAACATATCATACTAAAACCAATATCTTCTCACAGCTTCGCATCAAAACTAAAATATATCAAAGAAATTTTTTTAAATAATCATAGTATGAAAAATTGACAATTGGAATGATTTTTATTTAAAATTTCTCTACGAAACTCTGGATGTATTTTCAAACAACGTAAAATAGTTTTATAACAACACAACATAAAGAATTTTAGTCAGTAAATAGTATTTGCCTGATTGATGGAAACGTATTTCATTTGAAGGTATCAAAACTAACTTTATAAATTCTTTGTATTCATCTCTTGAATAATGAATTTTGGATATATCTGTGTAAAATAAAGTAATTTCATCAGCAACATCCTTTAAATTTTAGTATGAGTTTTGAAATGCTTAAATAGAGCTATATCTGAACTAGTTATGGCGGTTAGTTTTGTGTAAACGAAAATTGATTGTAAATCATCTGGAAATATGATGAAGGCGCATAAAAAATCATATATCATGGTTTAATAATTGTTCTAAAAGAACACTTGATCCATTTAGTCGCAGTGGTATCAAAAAATAAAAGCCTAGACTTTATTGACTAGACACTATTCTTGTAATGCGTTATATACAGCAGATAAAATGTCTTTGTCAGTATCTGAGAGTAATAATGGCACTCTACAGTTTTTCTAGTTTTTCTACATTAAAAGCCGTAACCATTATAGGTATAATTATAAAGATTATAATAGTGTCATAAACAAATAATAATTTTATCTGTTTATAATTTTCAATTGATGGTAGTACCTCCTATATAGAATTATTTATGTTATTATACCACATATTTCGTTATGTATAATTTTAAATTAATACGTCAATTTTTTAAAATATTTAAAATATATTGCACATACAAAACAAAATCAGATAAAAAGACATTTTAACGCATAAAATATTTTAAAATAAAGTATATTTTTATCGTTTTCTTTCTTTTTTTTCAGAAAAGTTAATTATTCGAATACAACATATATACATATATATAAACATCTTTTACGGTCTTTCCGACTTCTATCTTCTAATAAAACTGTAAGATTATTGATTTTTTGCCTGTTTCTGATTATGAAGGAAGGCTTATTACTTTTATTCAGCATATTTAGGTCTTTAGTCAGAAGTGGATCCATTAGTACCTCACCTCTTTGGTTGATGTCACTACTCTCCCGTATAGTATGGAAGGCATTTGAAACCATGCCTAAGATTAGTTCTCACTTTTAATTTTTACAATAATTAAATAGCACTATTAAGTTATTATCTGTATCTTTTCTCTTTCTTCCTGGATTGTAGTGGCTTGGTAACATAGTCCGTAAAAACAAATTCACCTCATTCTAAAATATGGACTGTTTTTGAATTTCTTCAGTGTTACCATGTTTTTGTCATCCACGCTTAACGGGTTTTCCTCATTGGAGGTTCAGGTCTTTTGGTTTCTGGTACGAGATTTTTGGTAACTTCCAAATTTTCCAAATCATTGGTTCCCTTGTCCATTCTCTTCATCCTTCTGTCTCTTTGTATTTACGCGATTCCTGTTCAGCATGCGCCTCTGACTGTCGCTTATTTTTTTAGGCTTAAGTTTAATTTAATACTTTCGATCCTTTCAGAAACTGCTTATAGTTGGTGTAGCGACTCCTAGTTAGTAAACGGTTTTATAAATTATGTTGTTCACATTGATATTTTCAATTCCAACGATTCTTCTACAAAGAGCCGTCAATTTACGCTTTTGTTCCGAAAGATTGTCCATAAGAGATCCGTGTTTGTCACAAGATTGTTTTATGGTTTTTAAATTTTTTGACCATAAAGTTCCCATAAGTCGTGGAAAAATATAGGGGTTTATTACAACAGAGTTTGATACTATGATAAAGCTATATACTCTATAGTACACCAGATGTTATAAATGATCCAAATGGACACTTTTTAACGAATATAAAAATAAAGTTTTTAACGTAAACTATATTATAAAGAAAAATATTTGTCTGACGATTTTTCTACTATAAGAAATCGACCATTAAAGTAAAAAAAATTGCAATTATTACAAAAACATTAATTTATTTTTTATTTTTGAAATTATTTCGGGACCTCTGACAAATTTAAACCTTATTTAATTAAAGTTTCTTGAAAATACTTTAAGATAAAATAAAGAAATACTGTGTGTTTATAATAACTTTAAAATGCACTATTTCAAAAAAAAGTTTAATAGATTCACATCGAAGCGTTTTTATATATACTAATGATGTTAATTATTATCAGATATCATCTATCTATACTAACTATACTGCGTCTCCACTGTGCTGGGTTATATTAACTAGTTTAACTATTACATTAAAATGTTTAAGTTAAGTTTTCTCAACTACTTTTTTAAAGTTATTTTAATTTTGACTACAAAAAATAGTTGTTTTTTATAATAAGAATTGAATTCTCTTGGCTAATATTTTTACATTTGAATCAACTTAATAGTTTTTTTTCTACGAGGATCAAAATTTGTAACACTTGTCAAAATATCAAAGACTATTCTATATATCCTACTATTATTTAATTATTTTTTTAGGCTGATATAAAACTTGTTAACCACACAAAGTCATTTCTAGAAAATAACCTTGATAATATTACCAAACCATATCCTTTAGCAATGACTAGTTATGCACTATTGATTTCCAATAGCATTTTTTCATCAAAAGCTTTAGAAAGGCTTCAATTATTATCAACAAACCAGGAAAATGAATTCGGGTGGCCTAAAATTCATTCAACATCAGATTGGTATGAAGAAATAATTCCCCCTAAAAAAGGAGGTACTATATTATGAAACAAAATTTATTTTTTGAATATATAATAAAACTGATTTTTTCTTTTAGTTTCTACCGAAGAATTTAAAGCATCACTATATTGTCTGATGATATATGCAACAAAACATGATTTAAAAACATCTGAACCAATAGTCCGCTATTTGTATTATAGAACACAAGTCTTAGATAGCAATCCAGATGTCAGTACATTTTTAGTATCTTTAAGAATTTTTTTTAACTTTAATTTTATTACAGTTGGCTTATTTAACTGTAAAAGCTTTTGCCATGTTTAACAATATCGGATCAGATCCTCACCGAAAATTAACAGTTTCACTGGCTACTTCTGGTATGGAATTAACTGATACTTTAGAATTTGATTCTAGCACCAAATCGAAATATTTGCACTTACCATCATTACCAACTAAAGTATTTATTTATGCAACTGGAGCTGGATGTTCTACGATACAAGTATTTATTATTATTATTATTGTTATTATTAATATAGTATTTCAATTAATTATAATATTAACTCAGGGTCGAATTCAATATACCACATACACGAGCGCAGAGAATGAAAATAAATTGATTGACTTATGGTCAGCTGTTACTGATGTTATTCAACCTAGTAAAGGTTTTACAGACGAAATTTACAGCCATTCCACTACTTTAAGGCTTCGAACTTGTTTTAAGTAAAATTTTAAATAAATAATAACCATAAATTTGTTTAAAATAATTTAATTGGTTCAATCTTACAGATCAAATAACTTAACAGAAGATACTCTACGATTAGAAGTCAAATTATTTTCTGGTTTTTATTTTGAAAAAATGACATATTCAACTATAACTAAAGTTCATTTTGGGTCACACTCAAATCATGTTTGGTTTGTGTTTTCAAAGGTATTTATTCTAATTAAATGTATGTAATTATATTTTTAATAGAGTTTAATTTATTATTGTAATATTATTAGGTACCCAATCATTGTATTATATGTGTATCATACATAGCAAAAAACACCCAAAGAGTCACTGGTTTACGACCAGCTGTTGCTAAAATATACCCTGTTGAAAAACCAAATTTAAGTTCATATAAATTTTTCCACGTTGATGAAGAACAAAGTCCACTTGCTGAAGGATTAACTGCTTTACAATTAGCTGACTGGATAACTAACGACTCAAGTACAAGCACGATAATTTATGATACGAACTTCTTTTTTTTATTATATTTTTTTGTTTAAGGTATACCCAACAAAAATGAAAATTTTTGTACGTGTAATAATCTTTGTAAGAATAACTCATTTGTGGAAGAGTCTACTGTCAAGACTCCAATAAATGTTCAATATACAACTCCAACCAAAAGTTCTCTAATGGCTCAAACAAAAGAAACTTCAAAAACTCAATTTAGTGCTCAAAAAACAACCATCATAAAAACCCCAATCACTCGAAAAGAACAGTCTGCTTTATCTTATATTAGTTCACCAATACCTACCACTTCGTTCGCGAACTCTTCTAATTCCATGCAAGTGCCAAGAAAACAATTAATCGAAACTATTCCACTAAAAACAAAACGAACTCCTGTTAAATCTACTGGGAATGTAGTAAGAAACATGAAAAAACCAAATAAGAACGGTTCTAAAGAAAAGGACTCTAATTCAAAGCACAGATCTAGTGAAGGTAGTAACTCAGAAACGCCTGACGCGACTTTAATCAATAATAGTAATACTGATACTGCAGCAGTAGCTATATCAAAAACATCGCATTCTAATAATGTTATTAAAAATAGTAAAACAAATGGGGGAAGTACAACAAAGCCATTGTCAAGCACTCCACAAAATACAACGCCTCTCACAGTAACAACTAAAACAAGTTTTATAACAACTACCGCCAAGACATTAAGTATTCAATCAACTAAAGAAGTGCAAACTACACACCATACTAATATTTTAACAACAAAAATACCTATTATAACTCGTGTTTTAGGAACAACAATAACACCCATTACCTATTCAGCTTTATCGCCATTATCGACCAAACCAACATCAATAAAATCGATAACAACCATGCCTGATTTAATACTTGATGCCAACAAAAGTAAAAAAGTCATTAATGATTAAAACATTAAAAACTAATTCTTTAACATTTTTAATCACTAAAATTATGACTTGCTCTACCAATTAAAATAAAAACTATTTACACTGTTATATTGACTATGTACTATCTGTACAATTGTACATACAATTATTTTTGAAAGTATATAAAACTAAATTGAAGTTGTAACAACTATTAGACATTCATGTTTTTTTTCGACAATTTATTCATAAATTGACTAGTTATTGTCCATGAAAATATACATCATAGTTGAAAGATTTATATTAAAACAGTAAATAATACATCTTTAAATTTACTTATGTAACAAACATAGTAATAAATGTTCTTACAAACCAAAGTAATACTATAAAGTTTCACATAACAGACTTGCAAAATACTATTCATTTTCTTAAAAAATAAACATTTAATTTTAATTTTAATTGACAATCAATAAATATGCATTAAATGACAGTTAATGTTACTATAGTATTAATTTAGTTTTAATATTTATTTTCATTTCTAAATCATTTGTATTTACTAACACACACAAAGATATTTACATGTGGAAATGCTCAAATTATTATTAAATAGAATGCTCCAGTTAAAATTATTCAATACTTTCGGTGCTTTAATTGATTACTCAATTTAAAGATACTATTATTCATTGTATCTTGTAATCACGCACGTTTTTATTATATTTTAACCGTAGGGCTTGAGTTTTAAAAATAAAGCAATATAATATTGATTTTTTTTATTTGGCTCTTTTAATTACTTAGTAATATTTGTAATATACTTAATATTAATGTGGTAAAACATAGTATTTTCATATTTTATTGATTAAATATTGCACACTCAATGTTCAATTGCAATAAAATTATAGGCACCAATTATTTTGAAAAATATATTTAAGATTTTGATAATAATTCACAAGTTGTTTATTTATATTACTTTATTACGTATGAATGTTAGTAGAGTAATATATTTGTTTTTGACTTTCGTGACTTAATTTTAGTTTAATATAATATAATCTTGAACTGAAAACAATCAAACAAATTAAACCAAATTTAGTTTTTTTGGAGTTGATTATTTTTAAAGTTTCCAATTCGATTTTAACATTGCCAAAATGCAAAAAGAAAATTTAAAGTTATTTTTTATAACATTTTCATTTTAAGCTACATTAGATACAAAAAAAAATGTCCATTTAAAAATCAGGTGTACAGCACTAAATAATCACAAGTTACCTTTTGTTTTATATTTAACTAAAATAATATTAGATTCTTTCTTAGAATTTTTAGTTTATATCTTTAATATTGTTTAGGTTCTGTGTTAATGTAATAATAATTTTTATTAACTTAGAATACTTTGTTTATTATTCCAATAAATTGAAGTGTAATTAAATAAATGTTAACATTTTTATATTTGTTACAATAAAAATTAGTAAAACTCTGTATAAAAGTGTTTTAAATGAATAGCTTAGAATGATTTTTAATTATCCACGAATCAATTATTCATAAATGACAAAATATACTTTAAATGTGTTCTTCAGTTGTTTTAATAATAATGAAAACATAAATAATTAAAACTGGAAACTATAAACACAAATAAGTAACATCATAAAATAAATTTGTACAATTACATATGTAGCCGAATATGAAAACTATTTTGTTATTTTTGGTTAATCACATATTATTATGGTAACACAAAATATATTACTTTCAACATTTATTCACTTTCCTAGTAAAATTTTTCTAGTTGCTCCAAAGTTTTGTCCTGCTTGAGTAGCACCTTTATTTTGGCCAGCTTGTAATCCAATGATCCCTTCCCCAGCACGTAGCTGATCATCTGTCCAATCGCGTTTATTTTCTTCTGAAGGTCTAGGGCCTAAAAATGGACCTTTCCACTCAAAATGTTTATAAGCCTAGCTTCAAATATAAAAAACTGGGATAAATCATGATAGTCAAAGTATAAATTACTTGATGACATTAATACAAACCGTTCGACCTATAGCAAATATAGTCATGGTTACTCTAGAAATATTCTTTTGATCCCACAAATCGACAGTCTGAAATAAATCTACATCAGGAACGCCATATTCAATACAAGCCTTTTGAAATCTAATAAAGAAATTTAACATTTATTATTAAAAATCATCTTACATGTGTTACAGTTAATTTAAAAAAAAATAGTCTAAAACTCAAATACTGAAAATCCCTAAAATGTAAACTCCACCAATACTGTTTGAATTTTAACTAATTATTATTTCATATTAAATAACTTTTTTTCGTCCTTGCAGTAATAAAAAAACTCAGCACAGGGGGGTCATAGCATAGTGGTGACGTGGCTAGTTGGAACAAGTATAATGATATATAACAGTGATTATAATCACTATCATAAAAAACACTTTGATGCAAATCTTTAGATAGTGCTTCTTTCAAAAAATGGTGGATTATTCAAAAAGCTACATTATCTGCTATTTCCTTATTGATATCCTGATTAAGATAAAGTATGTTGAATGAAAAAGGGATATAAATATTATTTCCCTCTAGTGCAATCCTATCCAAAATGCATTTAGAAAGTAGAACTTTTTCAACTTAACTTTTGAAATTGTTCCGGAAAGTCTAACACTTTTATACATATCTTAAATTAAAGCTAATGTAATATACTTTATTATGGAAAAAAAAAATTTCGGATTCTTTACGATGAAAATGGCTAATGATAGCTATTTTTGTGTGAAAATTCTCGTTTTTATTTTTTACATTTTTAACTTTATAACACTATAACTTATTGAAAGGTGTATGGATCAACACAATTTTGTTATGAGAAATAATATTTATATCCCTTTTTCATCTGACATACTTTATCTTATTCACATATAAATAAGGAAATAGCAGATCATGTTGCTTTTGGAATAATCCACTAATTTTTTTAAATTAAACACTATCTAAAGATTTGCATCGAAGCGGTTTTTTTTTATAGTAATTTTAATCAGTGTTAGATATCATACTTGATCCAACTATGCAACGACACCACTGTGCCACGACCCCCTGTGCTGCTTTTTTTTTATGTATATAGTAAAATAAAATAATCCTTTTTTTGGATATACATATTCATCAATCCATTTATTCTAGGTACATGTTATTTTTTCAATTTATCAAACTATAAAGTAATTTTTATGTTCATCCCTTATACCTTATAAGATTCTCAACTTAATTTTTTTAATGGCAAGATACATAAATAACTAGTTTATTTAATAGGTAATAATCTAATTAAGAGCATGGCTAGTAGATAACAATTTTTATATCGGTATTTAGGAAGTTATTGACATCTTAAGGCATAGAGTAGGTAAAGAATGCGACCAAGAAATGTCTAGTGATAAAAATTATAGCACCCGCGTTTCACATTCAGCCTTTACTATAAAATGTTAATAATTAATAAAATACTGGTACAAAAGTAACTTTTGAAAATAAATTGTTGATAACAACTTTTGGGTCAGTATATTAGATGTTATTATATTAACAATTTAAAGAATAGATCATTACATACTCAATAAGCTAGTTAATTATGTAAGTTTCCATTTGAAATAATGAAGTTGACGCCCTTATAAAGTATAAGGAATGTACATAAAAATACTTTATGATTAATAAATTTAAAAAAACAAGTACCAAAAAGAAAAGAAAAAAAATTATCAATATTATTTTTAATTTTTTTCTAATTGAGTGGTTCATTATTAATGAATCGCCGTGAATAGAGGGAGATTCAAAACTTGAAACTTGTCCATAAATGTATAAAATTTTGAATTCAACATTTAAAAATGTTTCAAAACTTCTGTGTCCTTGAATTAACATTAATGAAAATTCATGTAATTCGCAATTATTAAAAATAATTTTTTCCAACGATTTGTGTTCTATTCCAACATCTACTAAAATTAAACAAAAAATACTGCATCGATACTTTTAATCGATTACTATTGTGTATTATTATTCAATTAATATCAGATTACAATTTAATTTTTTATTTTAAGTATCGACTATAACACGGCCGCCGGGAATTAACCGGCCGGTTATAGAAAGTGTACCGGATATCATGTGAAAAAAGGAGGCATGGTATGGGAAGAGAACCCACGACCCAAGGCGTCGTATAGACTAACCTTACCACTAGGCCACCGTGAACTTATGATTCAGTTTCCGATACACTTTCATTTAGGTTGATAAAATGATGTGCGGCTGAGGGAAACACGGTACCATGTCAACTAATTTTAAACAAAATAATCACGCAGCCTTATCAATGATCTATGATAAATTACAATTTTAATATGTTCTATAGTACTAATTGTAAAACAAAGGTCGGAAGAAAAAATTTCTTGAAGTACAATTGCATTGAAAAATTTTATGATAGTGGTTTTAGCCAAAGTCAGAAATCAATCTATTCTAGTTCCCTCTACACAAAAATTAGCTAAAAAGACCTAAAAAATGAGTTTAAACGTGTTTATTTGAAGCAAAAGATTATTTAGATAATTTTCATATTTAAAATTAATGTCAATAATTATTTAAAAAACTGTTTTTTTTATTAGTTTTAAAATAAACGACTTTAATTGCTTACTGATTAATATTGTCCATCATTTTATAATCACCCCCTAATATATTTATTCTTGCTATAGATCCTGGTGCTAATTTATTCATTAATTTACAAAGAATAATTCCATCCCTAAGTGCATATTCAAATGGTACACCTGTAATTTAACGTTAGAGATAATAAACAAGAAAATAAATTAAATTGTAAAGTATTACCTGCTGGGAATTTTTCATTGGTAACAGATTCAATCCATTGCTGAGCTTCTAGTTCCTGTTCTGGATCTCTTTTACCAGCAATCTTAATAAATAAAAATATAATAAAATAAAATAAATAATAAAGGAATTTCAAGAACTTTTTTTGTAACATTAATAAAATTGAAATAATATAATTAAATATATAAATTTATTTATCTTTGAAAAATAGTGTATGAAACAAGATATTGTCTAATTTTAGTTAGAGGATTAGGATATTAACCTATTTGGTTGCCATTTGGTATTCGTACTTAAAGATTTGATGCTTCGGTCTTGTATACATATACAGGGTGTTCAGTAACTCAGGAAACGGGTTTCTATTGTTCTCATTGTTTGTAACAATGAGAACAAAAGAAACCCGTTTCCTGACTTACTGAACAAACTGTATACAAGATCGAAGCAAATTTTTCATTTACATTTACGTGCAATGATAATTAGTAGATTGATAATTTGCTCTAAAAATTAAATAGGCGTAAGATTGAATAAATCATAGGAGGAAAAATACCAGAGGTGTATGTAACATTTTTATTTGAAAACTAAAGACTTTTTTTACTTATCACTTTGTCATACCAGCTTCAAATTCATATACTACATCTAGTTATACTTGTAATTGGCCAATGAGGGAGGGGCTATAGTTCTCCAGCTTACACCTCTGAGAACCACCAAAAAAATAAATACCAAAACAGTTCAACTAGAGTAAAAATTATTTGTACAGTGTTATGACATACCTATTACTGAATTTTTTAAAAGACATGCACATAATTAAAATAATTATATTATTCTTTTTTAGCTTCGATGCGAAGCTGAGAAGGTATTAATTTTACCATGATGTGTTTATTTTTTTTTTTATTTTTTTTTTTTTGTGTCTGTCACTACTTTTTCTCAGCTCTCACTGGACCGATTTCTTTTAACAATACGTCAAAAGATCACAAATTGTATCTAGTTGAAGACATTACCCTTAAAAATTTAAAAATTTTCCCTCGTTCCCCGCAAATGGGGGAAATATCCAAAAAAATTACAAATTTAAAAATCGACAAATTTTGTCATTTTTTTCACTTTTTTTTCTTAAAACTTCCATAACTTTTTCAAAAATCAACAAATCAACATAATTTTTTTTTAAACTAAAACCTTAGATATTTTCCTTTCATTTGATATAATTTTTTTGAAAATTTAACACTTAACCTGCTCATGGGGGGGGATTTAAAATTGCAACTTTTTTACAAAAACTAACTTTTTCAACTTAATTTTTGAAAATGTTCCGGAAATACTGCGTCCTTTAAACATATATCAAATTAAAGCTTATTTTATGTACTACTAAATGAAAAAAAAAAATTTGTCCCGACGACCTATCTTCTATGCGCAAAAGGCTACCGTATTTAAAAATATGCTATTTTTTATTAAAATTCTAGGTTTTGTATTTTATTTTATTTTAAAATATTTTATTAGGGGAATAAACTGACTTTCATGAATATTATATAATTTCATTGACATAGAATAAAGTTCATAAGACATATGATATTATACTTATTAACATTTTTTACTTTTTTAAAGTCGAAAAAGTAATTTTTAAATTTGAGTTAGCTTAAATAGCCAATTTTATCATGCAACAAAAATCAACGAATAGTTGCCGAATGGGTAACACCTTGATCTTTAACGCCTAGGGTACGAGGTTCAAATCCGTTTGTGGCTTCTAAAATTTTGCATTTTTTTTTTGAGTTAGAATAGAATTTTCAAATCATTTGATATTTATCTCATTTAGATTCAATAATTTCAATAAATATAAAGGATCTTATCACTATAGTCTCCCCTCGTGAGAAGAAATTGATATTCATGTTAATATTATTTTACTATGTGGTTCTTTTTCTGGCTACGATTTATTTTGCCAACCCTCACTAGACCTACTTTTTTCAACGATACGTCAAATGATTCATTTAAGTTTATGATATTTAAGTTAATGATTAGTTTAAGTTATTACTCTTAAAAATCAAAAAAATATTCCTTATTCAAATAAAAAGTAGCTTAACTAGATTTGTCCATACAAACAATTAAAATCATTAATTTTTAATATTCTTAAATTATTTATTGTCGAATTAAATTTGATATGATAAAAGTATTCAACTACAAAAGTAAATAATTTTACTTTATAATTTATTAATTTTTTAACTCTATTTCTGTGTGCTACTACCAGTCTATAATATGCCAAATTTTTTAGTAATATGTTGCTATATAAATCATAAATTTAAAAAAAAAATGATTTTTAGTTTCACCTGAAGTTAACGATGGAGTTTTACAATTATAATTATATTTTTGATAATATGCTCAATTGAGTAAATCTTTTTAACTACTTTGGTTTGATTGGTTCATTTAATTAAAGTAAATTATTAAAATTAATTAAGTTCTGAATATTTCAATTGCAGAATTTTTTTAAACACCAAAAGTTATTAGGATATGATTACTATTCTTTCTATTTCAGTTATCTATTACGATAAAAATGTAAAAAAATCGAATTTTTCTGACAAATGTACTGTAATTAGTAATTATAAAATTTCCAGATTGCATATTAATCTTAAAAATTTCATTTTTTTCAATTTAATAATGTCAATTTCAAACTTGCAAGTTGAACTATAAGTTATGGTAACAAATTCATTTTTTAGCTTCGATGCGAAGCTGAGAAGGTATTTTTCATTAAAACTTTCACTTTAAAAGACAATAAAAAATAGGTTCAAAATGATTACCTTTAACATATTAAAAATCAAAATCAGTATTAATTTAATACAATTTTTTTTGTTCTTAATTATTTTTTTTTATATGTAAATACTTATTTTTTAATAATAAGTAATAATATTAAAACTTAGAAGTAATAGAAAAAGTTTAATTGCACATTTGAAAACATCACGAAAAGTTTATTTAGAAAAGTATATTTTTTTTCTGATGAAAGTTCCTTTTGTTTAGTGTATTTATTCATAAGTAACAAAATTTTTTTATTAAAAAGTATTGCATAAATTCCTTTAAATTTGTATACGCATTAAAAGTATATGAATATACAACTCCTTTTTATTTTTATAATATCTCCGTAAAAATTACAATATTATATTATTGAATACCACTTTCATACTCAATTTAATTACTGTAATTATTATGTATTCATATATTATAGTTATAAATCGGGGTAAAATTAAGGGAATAAGTGTTATTGTTGTTTTTGAAATAATCTACCAATTTCATTTTTTTCTATTTAATAATATCTATTTCAAACTTGCAAGTTGAGTTAAAAGTTATGGTAATAAATTAATTTTTTTTTTATTAAAACTTTCACTTTAAAGGACAAAAAGAAGTTGGTTCAAAATGATTACTTTTAACATATTAAAAATCGATAATAATTTGAAAATAATTAATTATAAAAATTATATAATATATAATTAAACGAATTACTAATCTGGATATAATTAAGGAAATAGGAGTTGATGTTGGGTTGGGTTGGTTACATTTTTAACTTTATAATGCTACAACTCATTGAAAAGTGTATGAATCAACACAATTTTTTTATGAGAAATAATATTTTTTAATAATCCCTTTTTCATTCGACATTCTTTATCTTAATCAGGGTATTAATAAGGAACTAGCAGATCATGCAGCTTTTGTAATTATCCACCAATTTCTTAGAATTAAACACTATCTACTGATTTGCATCGAAGCGTTTCTTATGATAGTGATTTTAATCACTGTCAGATTAAATCTATACTGGACCCAACTATGCAACGTCCCCACTATGCCGCGACTCCACTGTGCTGGGTTTTTTTTTTTTATTTTATACTTTAAGCGCTAACAGTTCTGTTTTTATTTTACTATTGTATTTTAACAACATACGACAATATTGATTTCACAGATTATGTAATAAAAATTGATTACTTGTAGTTAATATTATTTAAAATATTCATTTGATTTAAAAAGTATAAGAAATATGAAACTCAAAAAAAAGAGTTCCATTATTATTAATGATAATAATACTTTTTTAGTAATTTTTGTGGCATTTGACTAAATATATATTTTTTAGTTTTAAATTAATGTTTCAAATATATTTTTCATTAAAAATTTTGTATTATATTAAATTTTATATTATATAGTTGTTACTATTGTAATTTGATTATTAACAATTTTGTATTATTTTACTTATAACTTGAACAAAATAAAATTGTAACACACGTTATATTGTTTATGTCAGTTTTTATTATAAAGAGTAAATGTAAGCATCATTTTCGCTTTTTTATACCAACTAAAAAAAACTCTTTTTTTTCTTTATAACTATTTTAGTTGTTACATATCCCAGATGCAAAAATATTGAATTTTTTATTTATTCGTTTTAATATGACTGATCAATAATGTTGAAGTTGTAACATAAATAAGTTATCAAATCCATCAAATCGTTTAACTAGAATAGAACATTTGAAAAGATGCCTTATCAGAAGTTTAAGAATATTTTTTTTATTTACTATTGTTTGTTATATTATGATCCATGATGTAAATTGTGTTCACTGAAATGAATAAATGCTATAAAATTATTTTTAACATACTAAGTTAACGTCACCTTGAATCGTGATTAAATATAAATAGACGCGACGTTTATATTTAAATCAAGGGTACAACTATTAATTGTTAGATGTATAATATGTAAAAAATTAACTTGGCTAGAGTCATCGTTTTATTTAAAAAACTTCAGTAGGAGTATTTTCTTTGATAGCAGTTGAAAAAATATTATTTTATCGTCAATAAATTATGAAATTTTCATTTAATTACTAATAATGAGAAATATTGAATAGTAACTATTATTAGTACAATATTCAATAGTTACTAAACGATTAATTTTTGCTAGGAGGAAGGGTGGCACCAACTCACAACACTCCCTCGAGACTTGTTTTTACCTATCCTGTTTATATGCGTGCCTCAGTATTAACTGACAACGCTAATCAACTGTTAGTTATCACATTATTTACTATTAGAGATTTATTTGTGGATGACAATATGTTTTCACAAATCGTTATTAATTAGTGGCCCAGACTGTCATGTACAATGTGCGTCCTTATGATGGTGGTGGTGTTAATTGCATCAGAATATTCTAACACATCATTCATAATATAATTAATACTTTTTTTTTAGTTTTTAATAATTAAAAAATAATTATTATTTGAGAGAGAAAATAATAAAATATATAAATACATATGTGCAAATTAGAAGTTTAGGAAGAGCTTATACCTTCAAATATTCAAATTATCACCTTGTTAAATTCTGTAAGATTAAAATTTTTTTGATGGCGAAAATTAATATATACAATATTTAAATTTGCAAAAAAAAATATAAAATTGTAAATTTAGATTCAAAATAGAGTTAATTTTTTAAATATTGATATCTTAGATACTTCTCATTCATTTAATATAAATTTTTAAAATCTACCCCTTTACCTGACCAAAGGGGGGATTCAAAATAACAATTTTTACACACAAGTTAAACTTTTTCAATTTAATTTTTGAACATTTTCCGGAAATATTAACACTTTTATTTAATCTTAAATTACAGCTTATGTAATATACTTTACTATAAAAAAAAATTTCGATATAGTGAAAATAGTTATCATATTTAAAAATATGCTATTTTTGTATTAAAATTCTTGGTATTGTATTTTAATATACCTTACAAGAGGAGTTCATTGATTTCCAAAAATGTTATATAAATCTAATTGACATAGAATATAAAATTTTTTTTTATTTTAAGTGAAAAAAGGGTAATTTTAACATTTGATCAGCTTAAATTGCCAATTTTATCAAACGACGTATGTTTGTCGATTCAGTAAAAATCATTGCCTGTGATGATTTTTTTTGCAATTTTTCCTTAATTCTTTTTGAGTTACAATTTAGCTTTTGAATAATCCACCAACTTATTAAAATTAAACACTATTTACAGATTTGCATCGAAGAGTTTCTTGTGATAGTATTTTTAATCACTGTCAGATATCATCTATACTTGTCCCAACTAAGCCAAGCTCACTCTATTCTTCGACTCCACTGTGCTACAGTTTTTTTTTTTTGAACTAGCCTTGGTTTAAAATTTCTTTACAAATTATAATTTAAAAGAAATCGAAGTTACAGTTTCATTATATTGTTCATTAGATTTGTTAGAATTACAATCTCTTATTTTTTGACTTCGTAAAAAATAATAATTTTAGTGTAATATATGAATATATATGCACATTCTTTAAAATCATCCACTGTTTTTTATAATAATTCGCTAATGGTTAGGCCTATAGGCGTGTCAGCCACTTGTGTATACCACTAATCGCTATGATTAAATTAAAAAGTGTGTTCCATAAAATTGATTCATACCATGAAAAAAAATTAGAAGTTAGCTGAAATTGTAAGTTGATCATCAAGAATGTACCGCGAATAGTTTAATTTTTTTTAGGGAGATTGTAAAATCCAAAAATCCTGTTAAAAATATTTTTATTTTCAAAGTTTAATTAATTCATTTCATTTCATTAGCAAAGTTTAACGATTTATATATAAAATAAATATAATTTTCGGCTTATATATTTTCGATGAATATATATCATCTGTAACACTTACCGATTAAAATACGGTTCAGTTAAATACTGTTCATAAAAATATGATTCGATCAATTTATATTTTGGCTAAAATAATTTTCGGCCTAAATACGGTTTAATAGTATTTGATATTTTAAACTACACTACGCGCACTCATTATTGCATTGTAAAGGTCGTAATTTTTGACATAAGAAAACATGTACAAACAATTAACTACACTAGAGAGTACTCACAGAGTGATGTGATCCAATTTTTTTAAAACGTTATCAAAGCTGGTATACATTAAATGACAGCCATAAACATTTTTTCAAAAAATTGTAAAATTAATTAATGAGTTTTTACACAAAACCAACGACATTTTAATAATATACAGTGTTATAAATATACATATGAAAACTAACATATTAATATATAGTATAAATATAATTTTAGATTTAATCGAATATTTATACTTTATATGAGTGAGGAATTTTATTGTTTTTATAACCAGAAAAATAGAAAAAATTAATTAAATAAATTTTAATATTATCCGGATGTTATGCTTAACTGTATTAACCTTTATAATTTTTATACAACAAAAAAGTTTGGATGAAATTGTTTTTACAATAAATTTACCTGCCACAATGGACGTCTGTTTGGCATTGTAGTTATTTTTGGATTTGGTTAAATAATTGTTTTAATGAAGTATCTTTCTTAATAAATTCAACGCATAAGTGTGTTTTTCTAGCAAAACTACGAATGGAATTAAGTTTCAAGACGAAAAGAGTTAATTCTTATAAACGGAATATAGAGGGGCGTACTGGCATGAACAACCTTGAATTAAAGTTATATTTGTTAAATAATGATCAGCCCAATAGCGCTGACTCAGTTAAAAATCGAAGTTTCTTGTGGAATTGTCATGAGAAATAAAGATTATCATTTGAATCAAATGATCTCTTTGCAAGAGCCTCAAATTTTCAAAAATTGAAATTCTACTCATAATAAGTTTGTTTTATATAGCATAATAACTGTTTGCAGGTAAATTATTGTTATTGACATTTTATTAAAAATGTTCAGACTCCTTTGATTTGAAGTATCCATAAGTTACTTTTGTTTTTAGAAAAAAAATTATTGATAAAAATGTGGCTTACGTGCAATATTAGCCTACAAACAGTCGATATAAAATGAGCTATTTAAAGACGTCATTTCAGTTTTTTTTTTTTTTTGTTGATGCCAAAATTTTGGAGGACTATTAAATATCAAAAAACACGAACATTGCCACTTTATGGGGAAAGGACTCCTATAAGCAATTAATAAATTAATAGCCCCAAAAAAATTAGAAAACTAGATTTTTTTTGGGTAGTAAAAATATTGCATTTATCTCCCTAAAAAATTTGATAGCACTATCCCTAAATGCCTCAAGGTGGAATAAAAAACATGGAATATTTGTGAAAATTATTTACATTAATAAATATATAGTTTATATTAATATATATATTAAAATTTATTTTAATGTGTTGATAATAATTTGGTTAAAAGCATTTAAATTTTTTACATATTTACTATCCAAAACTTTTATACATTTATCTGATGGACCGTTCATCCATTACAGCATTTTAACACTCACTCTATATACTAAAAAGCCTGTTTTTTTAGTTTTTAGCTTCGATGCGAAGTTGAGAAGATATTAATTTTACCATGATGTGTGTTTTTTTTTTCTGTTGCCACTTTTTCTCAGCTCTCACTGGACCGATTTCTTTCAACAATACGTCAATAGAACACAAATCGTATCTAGTTGAAGAAATTACCCTTAAAAATTGAAAAAATTTCCCTCGTTCCCCGCAAATAGGGAAAATATCCAAAAAAATTACAAATTTATAAATCGGTAAATTTTGTAATTTTTTTCACTTTTTTTTCTTAAAACTTCCATAACTTTTTCAAAAATCAACATCATTTTTTTTTATACTAAAACCTTAGATATTTCCCTTTCATTTAATATCACTTTTTTTTGAAAATCTAACACTTATTCTGCTCACAGAGTGGATTTAAAATAGCAACTTTTTTACAAAAACTAAATTTTTCAATTTAACTTTTGAAAATGTTCCGGAAATACTGCGTCCTTTATATATATCTTAAANCCGGAAGGTCTGACACTTTTATATATATCTTAAATTAAAGCTAATGTAATATACTTTATTTTGGAAAAAAAAAATTTCGGACTTTATTTGGTCTTCACGGCGAAAATGACTACCGAATGCTATTTTCGTGTGAAAATTCTCGATTTTATTTTGTATATTATATTTAACTTCATAATGCTATAACTTATTGAAAAGTTTATNTATTTATATTATATTTAACTTTATAATGCTATAACTTATTGAAAAGTTTATGGATCCACACAATTTTTTTATGAGAAATAATATTTTTTAATAAACCCTTTTTCATTCGACATACTTTATCTTAATCGAGATATTAATAAGGAACCAGCAGATCATGTAGCTTTTGGAATAAAACAGCAATTTTTTTAAAATTAAACACTATCTAAAGATTTGCATCGAAGCGTTTATTTTTGATAATGATTTTAATCACTGTCAGATATCATTATACTTGATCCAACTATACCACGGCACCACTGTGCCGCGACCCCCCTGTGCTGGGTTTTTTTAGTTTATTTAAATAGAGAAAAATAACTTTGAAATTCGAACTAGCTTAAATTGCAAGCTTAAACTCGCTTAATTTTTTTTTTGTCGATGGAAGCAACGTACGGTTGCCGTGTCGGTAACACATGTCTTACGCGCTTAGGATACAAGATCCAACCCTATTGTATGGTAACGAATTTTTTTCTATTCTTTTTAAGTTAGAATAAATTTTCAACTCATTTGATATTTATCAAATTTCTTATTCATATTAAAATTATTGTATTTTAAGTTTTAGCTTGGATGCAAACCTGAGATCGTATTTTTTTGTGACTATCATTTATTTTCTCTGCTCTAACTTGATCTACTTTTGTCAACGATACGTCAAATGATTACAATTCGTTGAAGATATTACCTTCAAAAATTGAAAAAAAATTTCTAATCTATCAATTAAACAGTTTCTTATCCCATGTTTTTCATACAGACAATTAAAATTCATTAATTTCTAATGTTTTCAAAGTATTTATTGATGAATCAAATTCAATATGATAGATTTCAATTACAAAATTAAATTATTTTACTTTTTAATTTAAAAATTTAATTAATTTTTACTCTATATGTATATGCTACTACTAGACTATTCCAAATATTTTGGTAACATGTTGCTATATAAATCATTTATAAAGAAAAATGATTGTTAGTTTCTCTTGAATTAACAATGGATTTTTAGATTTTTTTAACAACTTTTTTTTGATTAGTTATTTTAGTTAAAATTAATTCAGTTAATATTTCAATTGTAGAATTTTTCAAAACACCAAAAGTTACTAGGAAATTATTACTATTATTTCTATTTAAGTTGTCTATTACAATAAAAATGCAAAAAAATATTAAGCATTTCTGATTAATTTACTATAAATAATTATTATAAAATTTTCTTACTGCATATTAATCTTAACGATACAATCTTTTTAATTCTCATAAAATTTCCTATTTAATGATGTAAATTTTTCAAACTTGCAAATAAAAAAAACTTGCAATAAATTTTTTTAATTATAAACTTTTACAGAAATCAATTTTAAAGTATTAAAAAAATAGGTTAAATATGTCATTTTCCTTATTTTTAACATATTAATAATCAAAATCAGTATTAATTTAAAACAACTTTTTTTTGTTCTTAATTATTTTTTATATGTAAATACTTATTTTTCAATAATATTATTAATATTAATATATAGAAGTGATAGAAAAAGTCTAATTGCACACTTGAAAACATCACAAAAAGTTGATTTAAAAAAGTATATTATTGTTTTTGATGAAAGTTCCTTGTAGTGCAGCATATAAAACATATAAATATGTTATAAGTAACAAACCTTTTTTATTGAAAAGTATTGCATCAAGCCCTTTAAATTTTTATACACGTTAAAAGTAAAAAAATATACAACTACTTCATTATTTTTATAGTATCTCCATAAAAATTACAGTATTTAATTATTGAATATCACTTTCATACTAAATTTAATTACTATAATTATTATGTATTCGTATATTATAATTACAAATCAAATAATTAATCGGGATAAATTAAGGGAATAAGAGTAATTGTTGCTTTTGAAATAATCTACCAATTTCTTAAAATTAAACACTATCTACAGATTTGCATCGAAGAGTTTCTTGTGATAGTGATTTTAATCATTGTCAGATATTATCTATACTCGTCCCAACTTTGCCACTTCAATACTATGCTACATAGTTAAAATAAACAAAAGAGATCTGTAATTTATCAACAGATAAGAAGTCTAATACATTGCAATAAACTTAAAATTAAAAAAAAAATATGTTTATTTGTTTACTTATAAAAATTACATTTGAAAATGAAGAAATTAATTTTATCTTTACATTCATATTTTATAGATTTAACTTTAGATTACTTTTCAAGAGGAGCGTAATTAAGCAATTTTTCAATTAGATCAACATGACCAAGTAACATACGTCTACAACAATATCGTTTCAATCCAAGAGCATCTAATGCATCACTAAAAAATAAAAATAACATAGTACAATAGATTAAAATTTGTATTAAATTATTGTGTATTATATAATGTATTATATTGTATTAAAAAAAAACTATTATATTACATTATAACTATTAGTTATAATATAATATAATAGTTTTTTTTTTACATTTCTATGAATTTATGTAATTTATAACTCGCCACAAAACTGCATTGACAGTTCATTTTTATTATATATATAATTTTTTGATTTATATATAAATAATTATACCTTAATATCATTTTATTAAAAATCAAAATACAAATTGAATAGTTAATTAATTTCTCAATAATTTAAAATAAACACTAAAGATAAGTAGGAGTTATAAAATTAATAATAATACATTTAAGGGGAAATCTCAATTGCTATTAATACCTATCCACACATATTTATCTAATACCAAAAATCACTCCAAAAATTCAAATTCCTATAGCTTGTAAGTTAAAAAAAAAATTTTAAACCTAATAATTTCAGTTATTAATTTTTGGATTATTAATTCATAGTCAAAATCATAACATTTATTTTTATATAACACTTTCTATTAGAATTTTGGATAAAAATCACTATTTGTTTAACCATTTATTTTTTTAAACTCATTATCAATAAATATCAATATATTGTTATAGCAATTAATTCAATAAAATCAATTTCAAAAATAGTACTTCTTTTGAAATTAATTTTATAAATACAAATTTTGAAATTCATTCTTGATTTCTTATCAAAATAAGATTTGTCAAAATAGAGAAATTGTTCATAATGAATGATAGGATACTAACTTTTAATAATTTAAATAACTTCATTGGTTAGTTATTTATCATGAAATTAACAATTTTTAAGAAATTAAGAGTTCATTGTATATTCCCTCAAACTTATTACATTATTTTTACAAACTGCCCTTTAAAAATTATAACAGTAATAAATAATAAAAGACAACTATAGAGCTATAATAATACTATGTATTGACAGCTATATATATGTATACAAAAAAGTTATAAAAACAAAATGATTGAGAAAAGAACATTTTTTCAACTTTGCATAAACCAAAAAATTATAAAATTTACAATAAAATTAAGTCAGCTTACCCTTCAGTATATTCAGCTTGAAGTAATCCTAAATAACTCTCCCATTTATTTGCTATTACTTTGCCACATGTAAAACAGCGTATTGGAATTATCATTATGAATAATCTAAAAAAGCAAGATTATAACAGCAAAAATTTTATAAGATAATATTCATAGAAAATAAGTACTTACACAAAAATATTTTTCAATTATTGAAAATTTTAACTTAATTCCACAAAAGATATCCTATATATATTTGCTTTCATGTACTATTGTATCATGTTATCTAGATAAGGATATATTTTAAAATACTAGGGTTAATTTCTTTTTAACTCATTGAAGTGTAAACAAATTAAAAAACCCTCATTTCACAAATTAGAGACTCAGAAATTACTAACACTTATTTCAGTAGTTGTTTTTTATACTTACATTATTATAATTATAAATTACAATACTTAAAATCTATAGCAAAATAAAAGTGTAACATCAAATTAAACCAACAAACTTATTAAAAGACTTACTATATCATTAATTTTCTACAAAAATTTAATTAAATAAATACTAACTATAATATAGTTATTAAGATTGGTTAACTAAGCCTATTAAATTGAATTAACTTTGAATACCAAGGTAATAATTGTTAATATTTATCCAATAGAGCGCGTCAGATATTTAAATACATTTTATCTGTTCTATTAGATACAGTAAAAACTTGTATTATAAATTTCCCATCAAATGGTAATACTGTTATGTGGTAAATAATCATAGTGCGCAAGCGTGTATATCACATGTGAGATTCTGCATTGTGCGGTTAATATTTTTAATTTGACGAAGTTGCCATCGGTATCCGACCGCACGTGGATATATGTTTTTATAGTACTGTTTGTTGTTGTTAATGATATAGTTAAATTTTGTTTTCTAGTTTTGTAATTTTATTTACAAAGTTTTAATGGGTAATTGATATACTACATATTTTATTTAAGTTAATAGTTAATTATAAAAATAATAAATTATTGTCTGAAGATATATCATATTATACTATGTTATACAACTCAAAGTTTTACCATTTTGCAGGTTTTGATCGTGGAGGTCGTGGTGGACGAGGTGGCGGCCGTTTTTCAGGAGGTGGCCGTGGTGGATTTGGTGGCGGAGGTCGTGGTGGATTTGGTGGCGGTGGTCGTGGTGGTGGCAGTGGTCGTGGAGGCGGTGGTTTTAGAGGTCGTGGTGCTGGTGGTCGTGGTGGTGGTAGCCGCGGTGGCGGAAGACCATCTGGAGGTTTCAAAGGAGGAAAAAAAGTTGTTGTTGAACCTCATCGTCATCCTGGTGTTTTCATCGCCAGAGGAAAAGAAGATGCATTGGTTACAAAAAACCTTATACCCGGTGAAACCATTTATGGAGAAAAAAGAATAAGTGTTGACTTGGTACATATCTTAATCTTAGATTTTTTTAGTTATCCAAGTTATATTTATTACTTTTTTCAGGCTGAAGGAGAAAAAATTGAATATCGTGTCTGGAATCCTTTCAGATCTAAACTAGCAGCTGCAATCTTGGGTGGTATTGATGAAATTCACATGCCACCAGGTTCTAAAGTATTATATCTTGGCGCTGCTAGTGGTACTACCGTATCCCATGTATCAGATGTAGTAGGGCCTGTAAGAATAAATCATCAACAACTATTAATTGACAATTTGACTAATAGTTATTGTTTGTAGGAAGGATTAGTGTATGCTGTAGAATTTTCTCATAGATCAGGTCGTGATTTAATAAATGTTGCAAAGAAAAGAACCAATATTATTCCTATAATTGAAGATGCCAGACATCCACATAAATATAGAATGTTAATTGGAATGGTTGATACTATATTTGCTGATGTAGCTCAGCCTGATCAAGCTAGAATTGTATCAATTAATGCACAGTACTTTTTAAAAAATGAAGGTCACTTTGTTATTTCAATCAAAGTATGTATTAAGTATATTAAACAATGGTATCAATATAACATAAGGTGAGATGGGGTAAGTGTGTATGCTGCATATTTGGACATGTAAGATGTATGATTATTCATTGGAAAAATTTTTATCAAGCATTATGCTGTCCTCTTTTTAACTGTTCAAATTTTCATATTTTTAATTCTGTATTATTATTTCTGTTTAATTATACTTATTAAGTACCACAGTTCAGTCTATTATCATTCACTTGTTTCACACAGCTTGGTACAATGTTAAATATTAATTTTTTTCATGGGATTGATTTCAACTAAACTGAGATAGTACGTGTAGTTATTCATGTGCCATCTTTTATATTTTAACTATTAAATAATGTTACAATTTGTGTAAATATTATTTCACTTTTGTTCTGGGTTATTTGTGTACCGAGATAATTATAACACTGTTTGTATAGATTTTATAAATCGTAAATATTTTAACTTCAAAATTTTGAGGAAAAAAGCATACTCAATTATTCCATCACTCCTTTATTTGAAATATTTCTAAAAATTTATTTTAAAAGTTTTCTTTGATTAATAAATTGTTAATCTACACTTTTTAAATGATACTTTTAGTATTGAAAAACATTTTAATCTGTAAAATTATATACTTTAAATTAAAAGTTACACCTCTATATTGTTTGATTATATGGATAAATTAATTCCTCAATTCTACTTTTATCAAATTTTTGCTAATTTATTATCAATCATTGACCAGGACTTTCTTTAATTCACTGAGCAATCAAAACATTTTTATCTCTTCAATTTTAATTAAATCTAAGGCATTTGCATGTACAATAACAAATTTTCCAGGTTTTTAAAATCTGAATTTTTATTTGTTTATAATTAATTAAAAAAAAAACACATGGTAAAATTAATAGCTTCTCAGCTTTGCATTGAAACTAAAATTTAAACAAAGTTTTGTTGAAACGTAAATGTTTTTAATAAAAATTATAGTAATTGTTAATAATGTAATCACAAAGAAGTATCATTGATTGTATTAAACATTTTCTACAGTGGATAAAGCAAATAAAGTCAATTAGTAATAATTCTATTTGAAGAGTGAATGTGTCAAATGTTCTATGTGCCAAAGGCCACAATCATGTGTGTGTTTCAAATGTCAATTAAATTTTTTACTTGTACAAAATTGCATTCATAGATGGTGTTCGATATGTGAGACATGCCCATGTTACCATTGTTTTTTGTGTTTTCTGAACAAATATGTTTTTGGCACATAGAACGTTTGACACATTCACTCTTCATTTAGTGAATCATTTATAAAGTACATCATAGTAATAAAAATATTTATTACATTACCATTTTAGGTAATAATGTTATTTCCTCAAAAATTAGAAACTCATTTGATTTTAACATTTTAGTATGTGTACATACTGTAAGTTAATAAATTAAGTAAAGGCTTAAGTCCTAATAAGAGATAAGATAAATTAATAGTAATAAAATAATGCACTCTTGAGATTCATAATAAACTAACATTAGTATATATAACTATTTATATATAAAAATATTTTAATTGTTCAGCAAACTAAAGGATTCAATGATAAATTATTATATTATCCTCAAAAATTGAAAAAAAATTCCATGGTTCTTCGTAAATGGGGGAAACTTCCAAAAAAATTACAAATTTAAAAATCGCTAATTTTCGAAAATTTTTCAACTCTTTACTAAAAACAGCCATAACTTTTTAAAAATAAACATATCAATATAATTTTTTTTTTTATAGATGCTTGATGTCTTTACCTATCATTTAATACATATTTTTTATAAATTTAACCCTTTACAAGCCCACAGGGGGGGATTAAAAATGACAACTTTTTCACAAAAAAAATTTACTTTTTCAACTTAACTTTTGAAAGTGTTCTGGAAATACTGACACTTTTATAGATATCTTAAATTAAAGCTTATGTAATATACTTTAATATTACAAAAAAAAATTTTGAACTTTATTTTGTTTTCATGGTGAAAATGGCTACCATATGCTATTTTTGTATTAAAATTCTCGATTTTATATTTAACATTTTTAACTTTAAAATGTTATAACTTTTTGAAAAATGTATGGATCAATACAATTTTTTTATGAGAAATAATATTTATATAATTCTTTAAATGTAATGTATTTTATAATGAAAAAAAAATGTCGGACTTTATTTGGTCTTCACAGTAAAAATGGCTATCAAATACTAATTTTGTGTGAAAATTCTCGATTTTATTTTTTACATTTTTAACTTAATATCATATCAGTATCATACTTGTTCCAACTATGCTACGTCACCACTGTGCCGCAACCTTCCTGTGCTGGGTTTTTTTTTCAATATTTTATTTATTTTAAGACTTTTAGTGCTAATAGACTGATTTCCTGTATATATTATCTTATCTTGTATTTTAGCTTTGATGCAATTAACTTTATATAACTTAAATTTTCTTAACTATTATCAACAAAAAATGTGACTAATTAGTGTGTGAATATATTTTTTTCTAGCTTTAATATCACTTTAAAATAGTTAATTGTTTTTTTGATAATTATTATTAAATATTACTAAATATAATTTTAGGCTAATTGTATTGATAGTACAGCTGAACCTGCTGCAGTTTATGCTCAAGAAATTGAAAAACTTAAAGCAGATAAATTGAAACCAACTGAACAATTAACACTAGAACCATATGAAAGAGACCATGCAGTTGTTGTTGGAGTTTATAGACCAATCCCTAAAGTCAAATAAAAAATTTGACTTAATTTTAATAAGTAATTTTTATGTACAAATATGCAATTAGACCTATTCTTGAATTTCATTGGAGTGTTAAAAAATTTTACTAAATAAAAATTTGATAAAAGTTTTTAAATTTTTACTATCAAAATATATTAACTTTTTTATCTTAATTTTTTCACATTATTTACTTCTTTATATTCTAAGAACTGATAATTCTATTTTAAATATTAATGCGTATTTTTAGTAGTATGAAACAGACAAGGTACTATATACAAAGCTATTGATACTTCGCCCAATATATTCAAAAATATAAAATAATATATTTCTTATTTTGAAACTCATAAAACTAGATTCTACTAATTAAAAACACTTGAATTAGTTCTACACTTAATCCCTTTAACAGATGTCTACATTAGTTTTTTAAATTACAACCTATACTGGTTGATTCCTTAACAATACCTTAAAAATATTAAAACTAATTATTATTTTATTTAATTAATAATTATGGTTATTTGTTAAACTGCTTTAAACTTCTAATTCTCAAATAGCAACTAAAATTTTTAACTTCATGAAAAGCTGAGAAAGTATTAATTTTACTATGATGTGTTCTTTTTAAATATATACAACTGTTGCCACTTTTATTCATCTCTTATCAGACCAATTTCTTACAATGATACGTCAAAATATCTCAAATTATATCTAGTTGAAGACATTGCCCTTAAAAATTGAAAAAATTTCCCTCGTTCCCTTTAAATGAATAAAACCCCATAAAATGACAATTTTTAAAATCAGTAAACTACCTTATTTTTCTTAAAACTACAATAAATTTTTCAAAAATCAACAAATCGAAATAATTATTTTTTATATAAAAACCTTACATTTTTTCAAAACCTGACCCTATACTTGCCCACAGGGGCGGATTCAAAGTAGCAACTTCTTTAACTCGAGTTTTAAAAATGTACCGAAAATACTGCATCCTTTAAATATATGTTAAATTAAAGCTTTTGTTACGTACTATAAATTTAAAAAAAAAATTTGGCCCAACGACCTATCTTCTATGTGCAAATGGTCATCAAAGTTGAACAAATTTAGTAATAAATATTTTTAAATTTATCAAATATTTATCCATAAAACTTGTAATTAGGGTATAAATAGGAAAAAAGAGTTAATTTTTCTTTTGGAATAATTCATTAATTTCTTAAAATTAACTACTATCTACAGATTTGCTTTGAATCGTTTCTTATGATAGTGGTTTTAATCACTGTCAGATATCATCTATACTTTTTTGGTATTTTTAAATGTATTATGTGATTAATAGCACGCTGTATTTATTATGAGACCTATATTGAATTTCAAAACTATTCATGTTATTTGATCTAAGCAATATACATAGAAAGAAGTACAATTCAAAAAATACTTATATTTCTTTAATTCATAACAAATTTTTCAATTATAATATTGAAACTTATTAAATTAAATAAAAACTACTATTTCTCTACCAATTTTTGATAAAGTATTTAAAATATGTGTGAATATAAAAAAATAGGAATAAGAGACCTAAAATTACCTAATTATTCATTCTATATTTGAATACATTCATAGCATAAATAATCCTTTTTGTGATTATCAATCATCCGAAAGACAAACTCAATAATACTTTTACAATCATTAGTAAAGTTATCAATAGATAATATTTCATTAGAGTTAGTAATAAATTGATGGATATAGTCTTCAACTTGCTCACTAGATTCTAAAACTGTATATTTCAATGCTGACTTGGCTAATAAAATTTTTTCTGATCCAAAAACACCATCCAAGTCAAATAATTCCAAAAATGGTGATGGAAGTTCTTGAAATTGAGGTGGATAAACCTGAAAAGTAATGTAAGCTATTAATTTAATTTATAAGAGTAATTTAAAGAAAAATATTTTTATTGAATTATATAATACTTACGGTTAATTGAAGTATAGGTAAGGTATTGTTAAGTGTTGGCGGAATAAGTTGCAATTGATTATGAGGAACATTAAGTATTTTAAATGCTTTCAATGTGTCAGGTAATAATAAAGTATCGAGAGAGCATAATTTTGTATTTATAAATGAATTAATATTGTCATTTGATAAGATAAAATGCTCTGTATTTAAATTTTCTTGTAAAAGTAAACATGTTCGAACACATGTTGACAACATTCCAATATCTGGAATCATTTTGTAATCAGATGTCTAAAACATAGTATTAATATTTTTAAGTTATGAGTAACTTCAAAAATCTAAATTACGAAGAACATAAACATATATATGGAACAGCAAAAAAAAGTATATACCATAACCTTATTTTACTAATCATTATTACCATAGGGAGAAAAATAGGCAGTATGGTACTAACTCTACATAGTTCAGCTAGGAATGTATTATATCTCAGTGTGTATGAACCGGTTTTCAATTTTGTTATACTAAGAATAGCATAGCTTTTCAGCACGACGTAAAACATAAATAGAAAAATAATAATATATTAATTAAAGCTAAAACATCCACTCAAAGTCATGTTTTTATAATATAAAACTGGTTGTCCTTCAAATAACATTAGAAAAATTCCTATTTTCTTAATGAACCAATGTTATGTAACCATTATAGTGATTAAATTAACAATGTGTAAAGCTTTTGATCTTCTTCAAATTCAACACTTAAAAAAAACTTATCTTTCTGCTACAGAAAATTTTTTAAAAATATACAAAATTCTTAAGAGTAATAATGATGATTAAAATAAAGTGAAATGTAAAAAATATAATATAACAGATGTCAGCTAAATCTGTTCACTATCTGTATAAAAATAAATAAAAATTATTGTTTTTTACTACTCTCATAATTGCATGATTTAATTTTGTTGAATGAAAAATTATACAAATACTAACCTCAGGATCATTGGCATCAGTTTCGTTCAATGTTATTTTGTCTGTAATTAAAAAATCAAACAAAAGTTCACATATTTTATCATTTTCTTCCCAGTTAATATATTTATTGGTTAATAAATGGCCAGAACCAATTACAGCTATTTTTCCCTTTTTATCTATAAAAATATATTCAAGATAAATCATAATAATAATTTTATAGTAATTCCATTAATTAAAAAAAAAAAATTATTAATAGGTCTCTTGCTATCAGAAATTATGAAATGACTTCTCACAAAAATGTCTTCTAACACAACAGTGCAATGCTGTTACAGACAACTTCATTTGCTTAGGGAGAGATTAACTAAGTAATTGTTGTTGTCAATTTTCTCTCCGCGCGAAAAAAACCCAACCCAACCACCCATTAAAAAATAAAATTTACTAGGAATATGTATCAATCTTAGCCAAATTATTAAATAATTAAAAAATATATTTAGAATTAGATTTTATAAATTTATCAAAAATAGAAGGAAAATATCTAAGGTATTTTCATAAAAAAAAAAAAATTTGATTCGTTCATTTATCACAAAATTATGGCAGTTTTAAGTAAAAATAACAATACAAGAAAGGCAATATTTTACACAAATATTACATTTTTTGTTCAATTTTGGCTGCCATTTGCGCATAGAAGATCAAGAAGTTCAGTTAAAAAAGATCTACTTTTTACACGTATGTTTCAAGTTTAGAATCCCCCCTGTATAAGGGGAAATAGTTCGATTTAAAACAAAATTTATATTGATCCATACATTTTTCAAAAAGTTATACAATTTAACTGAAAATAGATAAGTTGTCATTAAATTTTTTTTTCCTGAATTAAGTCATAACATAAGTTTAATTTTAACATATGTTAGAAGCTCGGTGTATTTCCTGAATATTTTCAATATTTAATTTTTTGTAGAAAAGTTTCCATTTTGAATTCCACTTATGAGTAGGTAAAGGGTCAGATTTTCAAAAAAAATATACAAAATGATAGGTAAATATCTGATATAAAAAAAATTGTTTTGATTCATCCATTTTCAATAAGTTATGGCAGTTTAAAGTAAAATAAGTTTTCAAAAATTACTGATTTTAAAATTATAATTTTTTGGAGGATTCTTCCATTTATGGGGAATGAAGGAAAATTTTTTAATTTCCGAGGGTAATGTTTTCGACTAGAAACAAGTTGTTATCTTTTGACGTATTATTGAAAAAAATTGCTTCAGTGAAAGTTAAGGAAAACCACAATGAGTGAATACAGACACAAAAACAAATAAATAAACACATCATAGTAAAATTAATAAGCTGATGATGGAATGAGGACATTCAAAAAATCATATAGTAAGAAAAGGTAATTCAAAATATAACAGAAGAGCAAAAAGAGGGAAGATTGGATGGAGTATAAACGCTTGTGTTAAGAAGCCAATTGGGAAGTAAGTAAGGCAAAGTTGATGAGGTATGATAAATTGTATAACAAGCTAGGAAGGTGAAAAGAAGTCTATTAACTTACAAAAGTAATAGAAAAACGGTCTAAATATTATCACAATGCAAGGTGTATAAAAAGTGATGATAAGAGGGTGCTAACAGGCATTGATGATGTGAAAAAAGGGTAAAGAGTATTTTGCAAAATTACTGAATGAGGAGTATCCAGGATAGACACTAGAGGATATATCACAGATCGAGGGACTGGTAGATATAATTAGCTAGAAAGAGGTATCAATGAAAAAGAATAAAGAAGTAGAACCAGATGAAGTGCCAGTAGAAGTATGGAAAATATTAGGCGATGTTGGTATAAGATGGTTGAAGGATCTTTTTAATAAATTCTATTGAAGGGAAAATGCCAAAAGAATGAACAAATAGTATTGTGATGCTGATGTTCAAGGCAAAAGAGATATTAAAGAGTGTGGAAATTATAGAGGCATAAAATTTATGAATCATAGTATAAACATTTGGGAAAAGGAAATAGACAAAAGAATAAGAGGAAAACATCAGTAATAAATAACCAGTTTGGTTTTTTGGCTGGAAAATCAATGATTAAGTCAGTTTGTTGTGTGAGACAACTAATATAAAAGTATAAGGAGATGAAAAAAAAACTGTCTATGATTTCTAAAAAGCGTATGATAGAGTACCGGGAAATATTTTAAAATGGACATTAATGAGAAAAAGAGTTTCAAAAAAGTACCTTAATATAATAGAGGATATATTTGATAGCACTTGTACCAAGGATAAAGGTGCTTTGGTCATGTTATAAGGAGAGAAGAATCAGAAACTATAACAGCTATAGAAATGAATGTTGAAGGAAGAAGAGATAGAGAAAGACCATAAAAAAGATAGAGGGTTGTTATTGAATCCGATATGGAGACGGCTGATGTGGGAGATTGTGTCAAGTGGAAGTTTAGGATAAAGGTGGCTAACCTCAAGTAGTTAAGATTAAGGCGAAGAAAAAGAAAATAAGAAGTAAATTTAATACCCTCTCAGCTTTGCATAGAAGCTAAAAACAAAATTAATACGTATATATATAACTAACACTAATAGAGTTATTATGTAAAAAATCAAAACTTTTTAGATGTAGTTACATATGCAAATGTGAACATTTTTATAACAAATTTTATTATTTATCAAAATATATTGGAAATGATAAGAAAAGAAAAGGAATTTTTAATAATAATAGGTCAGAAGCTAGAATACATAGGACATATGCTGAATAATCAATGATACAAAATACTTCAATTTATATTACAAGGAAAAAAAAGTATAGAAAGAAAACCAACATCTTGGCTGAAGAAACTTCGAGACTTTTATAATAAAACATAAATTGATTTATTTAGACCATTAATTGATGGGGACAATATTTTTACTATGACATCCAGTATCCGAAAAGGGTAGGAGTTTGAAGAAGAAAAATATCAGTGTCTAAAGGGTTCAGACCCTCCTCTATCACAGTATATAGTTACAAAATATTCTCTTTGGTATATACCATAATTACCCTTAATTGACCATGAAACCAAGAAAAAAATTACTTATAGTACAAATATATATATGTATATATATTAATAGATAAAAATATTTGAATTATAAGTAGTGATAATAAAATCCATAGAAAATAAACCTTTGTGTAGATATAAAAGATAATTATAAATCAGTGCTTATGAAAAATATAAGTGCTATGTTATATCATTACATTATTATCAATTTAATATACCTTTACTAGAATATTTGGATGAATAGAAAGCACATAATGGCCTATTGAGAGGATAAGCAACTGAACCACTAGTTAAAATAGATACTGCTGGCTTAGCCACATTTAAACTAGCTCCATAAGGAAAAACAAAACTCAAACATCTGAAAATTAATATTCTAATAATAAAAATAACAGATATTTTTAAAACAAATAATTTTAAAAAAGAATTCCATTTTGTGTGCACATCCTATTTTTACCTTATGTAACCAATACAACAGTTATGATGAAATATTTAAATTTAACATTATATTATTAATTTTAAACTTTTTCCCAACAAATTATTTTAATATATATTTAATTACTTTATACTTAAAAAAAAATAATTGAGTCCATTTTTAACATATTTTTGATATAAATCTACATCTTTTTTCACTAGCATCATACACTCATTCATCTAACTTAATGAATATAAATTAGAAGAAAACAGTAACCTAAGAAAATCAGAGAATATTGTGAGACTTTCGATATTATTATTATGTTAATTTTATATCTGGAATATATGCATTTTTTGTACACCATCATTGCCAAGATTTCAAAATTTTATAATTTCATAATTTACATTGATAATACTGCATGAAAGCTCTACTTTAAACTTTTCTATTTTTTATTCAATTAAAAGTTTAGAACTTGTTAAAAGAACTCTTTAATTGGAATCTCCAGTACTAATTAATTCATAATTTTAAATTTAATTACATTTTTGCATGTTAAGAAACCTTTCTACAAACACTTTCACTTTCTGTATTAACCAAAAAAGTTTTTTACAATATTAATATTTCAGTAACAAAATTAATAATAATTGTACACATTTATTTTTAATTAGTACAAAAATGAGTAAATTTAAGGACTAAAATATGAACAAAGGATTGTAAAAACTATAAGAACTAGGTAATTACTATTCAATTTACGTTTATTAAAAAAGTTTATAAAAGACTTAATAACTAACTCTGAATAATTTTGTTAAGTTATTAATTATAGCATAAAATATAAAAAAAAATTTAGTTTACATGAATCTACATTCATTGCAAAGTAGATGATTAAAATGATATAAAGAAGATTTTTTTATTCCAATTGAATATTTTTAGTATAAATAAAAATGTAGTAATTTTTAATAGATACTTCTATTTTTTATGATAATAAGACTAAAATTTAACTATATTCAATATTTATTATTGTCATTGTTAACTTAAAAGCATTACGATAGGGCATGTTGACAATGAAGTGATGGCATTAGTCCTTATGTCTTACCATATCAGGAATGATTCTCATATTCCCTCATAACTAGTTAACTATTTTTACAAATTGCTCTATATTACTCTATAATCTAGAAATAATATAAATATTCTTTAATTGTGTTTAGGAAAAATTTTACCCAATAAAAACTGGTTATATCTTATTCACATTAGAGCGAGGAAAAAACTATGTTTATTTAATAATTATTCAATCTTTGTATGTTTTACAAATTTTTGTAATGAATTCTTCATTTATCTATTAACTTTTTTGATAATTTCTTATTCATATGTTCTAGATCAATTATTTATTTAAAATTAAAACTATACTAAGTGTATTAATTTAAATTAGTATTTTTAATTTAGTTTTAATTTTATATAATATTAAACACAAGTGATCAATATTTATTATAAATTATTTCATAGAATTGTGCATATAAAATTTTCACCTTACATTTCATGTAAATTTAGTAAATGTTAAAATTATGCCAACTAAAATGTTTAACTTTACCTAGAAGTATCGTATTTTTTTCTTCCCAAATATTCAGCTACAGCTTCATTGACAACACCATCTTGCACTAAACACTCTTTTGGATGAAAGTATAAGTAATAATGTGTTCGTAATACATAATCTACAATAAATTATTATTGGTCATATAGATATATATATATATATATATATAACCAGGGGTTAAAAACATTAATTTTTAAAAAAGTATATTTTATTTAAGCTAAAGGGGATAAATGTAAAATTACATAATAAATACTTTGTTTTAAAAGAATAATCATAAAATAATTATTTTTTTTGTAAAAATGAGATTAAATGTATCTTAAATGTAAACTGTAAGTTTCAATTTTATTTTTCAGAAGTTGCAATTTTACACTTATTCCTTTTTACTTGAACACACCATAGGTATAATAATTCCATCAATTCTAATTATTATGGAGCTTTTTCCAATATACATAATTTTTGAAAATATTTTAAGAAGTGTTTAATCTATTGTAACATTAAAAAAGAATATTGTATATCAATATAATTGAAATTTAGTTATATTAAACAAAATTTAATTTAAAAAAAAAAAACATTTTCAATTTAACTCTTTTTTTATCAGTACACTACGTTTAACTGAAATTCTAAGAATTGATCATCTACCAAAGTTGTTTTTTTTGTTACATAACCAATCAATTGTATGATTTTTTGTAAAAAGGTTTTCAAGTCAATTTTGTCATTTTTAAGTTATTTATCAATTTTATAGAAAAATTATTGTATATTTAGTGATATTAAACATTTTTCCATAGGCTGTTAAATTATTACATTATGGTGGTTACAACAGATAAAAATATTTTGTGTTTTTGTTTTAATGAAAAATTACTATTTTTGAATTGATTATTTTGGATAAACCATTCAGTTATTAAGTCAACTTCACTTTACTGGATCTCTACTGTACTTTACCTTTTTATTTACATTTAATAAATTATAGATTATTATATGATGATTAATTTCATATTTTTTAACTGACCAATAAGATAAAATATTAGGATTAGAACTTGAAATGATAGAAATCACATAAGAAATAGTACAATTAACAGTATATTACTAATATGATTAATACTATGAAATGTAAAGCATAGTAATAGTAAAAATGTCTTTATTAATTTAAATATTTACCACTATTGACCATTATTCCATACTCTTCTAATAAATAATTTATATTAGTGTGTAGTTCTTTTTCTCCTCCTTCAGATAACATTACTAAAATAGATCCACCATTATCTATAAAATTGCGTAGACAATTGAATTCAACCTCAGAAAACATAGCACGAGGCGCACCAATTACAACTAGTTCTATACCATTTAACTCATCCATAGTAATATCATTTTTATTACTAAAAAAAAAAAAAATTATAAATTAAAATTTCCACAAGAATAATTTATAAAACAATACATTTTAATATTATAAGAGTTCTTCAGTTTTATTCTCAAGGTCTTTAAATTATCATTTATGTTAAACATTTCATTTTTCCCTATATCAAACATTATAGTTCCTTTATAATCATCCATCATCGTAACAATTTGTTTAAAATATTTTCGTTTATAAATTTAAATTAGTTCCATAAATCAAATACTGCAATAATGTTTACAACTAGTAAATTAAAAATATTGATTTACTAGTTGTAACAATTGTTATCAACAAACTGTTAAATTAATAGGATCACTACCTTTTGTTCCACAAATTTCTTGTTCCAAAGCTAATAATTGTCCAAACATATTGTTCTAATTAATATATATAATCCATCTAGGCGATTACGATGGTAATTTGATAACAGTTACAAACTGTTACTGTTACTTTCAAAAAAACAATTACTGTTATTTTCTCAATAAAATGTTAATGTTGTAAAAACCAATTAATAAAAGTGATATAACTATTTTAATACGCTTAGTTTTATCTGTATGTATATTTTTATATTTGTTCGTTTTTGAAGATATTCGCAGGTATATAGCCTTTATTTATCGATAGTAGTAAGACACAGTTGTGAGTTTATAAATACACTATTTGCCAATACAGAAATTATATTTATTGATAGTCATAATTAACAATAAACACTCCGTGACTGTCACAGCGATGTCATAAAAAACTAAAAAGTGAAAAATAATTACAGTTTAAAAAACTAAAAAAATACGATTTTAAAGTACTTGGGGTCGGCCACCCTTATCCTAAACTTCCACTTGATACGATCTCCCACATCATCTACGTTCATATCAGCTGTCATCATATCGCATTCAATAGCATTCCTCATCTCTTTTTTGGTCTTCTTCTACCTCTTCTTCCTTCAACATTCATTTCTATAACTGTTTTTACAGCTTCCGATTCTTCTCTCCTCATAACATGACCAAACCATCTAAGTCTATTTTCTCTCATCTTATCCATGATTGACGCTACACCTATACTCCCTCTTATATGCTCGTTCCTTATCCTATCTTTTCTAATCATTCTACTCATCTATCTAAGCATTCTTATCTCTACTACACTCATTCTCTGCTCTACTTTCTTATCAACCGCCCAACAATACATCATGGCCTCACTACAGTCTTGTAGAATACCTTTCAGCCTCATTGGAATTCTTTTATCGCATAAGACGACAGACGTTTCTCTCCGCTTCAACCATCCGCATTTAATCCTGTATCTCACATCCTCGTCAATATCACCGCTCTTTTGCAGAACTAACTCTAAATATTTAAAACTCTCCACCTCTCTAATCACGTCCTTGCCTATTGTCACTGACCTCCTCATTTCATCTACTTCGTGTTTTCCTTTGGCAAACTCGTACTCTATATACTCCGTCTTCTACTTATTTTTAAACCCTTTTCTTCAAGAGCTGATCTCCACACCAAGTAATTTCATCTATCACTATATAGAATAAGTAAGGGCTTAAAGCAGAACCTTGGTGCACTCCTACTTTTACACGAAAACCTTCTATTACTCCTCCTACGCTTTAAATTCGGGTACAAGTGCCATCATACATACCTTCTATTATATTAATGTACCTTTTCGGGACTCCTTCTCTCATTAATGCCCACTTAAAAACCTCTCTCGGTACTCTATCATATGCTTTCTCCAAATCTATAAATATCATACATAGCTTTTTCTTCTATTCCCTAAACTTTTCTATTAGTTGCCTCACACAAAATAATGGCTCCATTGTTGACTTACCAGGCATAAATCCAAACTGGTTTTTAGATACCGATGTCTCATTTCTTATTCTCTTATCTATTACCTTTTCCCAAATTTTCATAGTATGACTAATAAGCTTTATGCCTCTATAATTTCCATACTCCTGTATGTCACCTTTACCTTTAAATATCGGTACCACAATACTATTCCTTCAATCATTTGGAATTTTCCCTTCTAATAAGATTTTATTCAACCACCTTATGCCAAAACCGCCTAATATTTTCCATACTTCTACTTGCACTTCATCTGGTCCTACTACTTTATTCTTTTTCATTGATGCCACAGCCTCCCATATCTCTTTCTCACTATTTAAATCTACCAGTCCCTCATTGCACGAGATATCCTCTGATGTCTCTTTTGGGTACTCACTGTTCGGCTTACTGCTTAAAATAAAGTCTTTGTTTTTTCCTTTTTAACCTATCTACTTTCTTCCACAACATTTCAGAGTACTTGTGTTTTGCACTTCGTATGCACCTCATACCTAGGTGTTACTCTTATTCCCTTCCTATATCAACAGCCTTCAACACTCACAGCTTACCTAAAGTGTCAGCCGAGCACGGTGACTACTGTACGACAAGACGCACGTGAATACTTAGACAGCAGGGACCACATCCTCCTCATTATCTTCATACACACATTCCCTTTCCATTTTATGTTTTGTGTTACGACAGAGTGGCGCCCAATAAAGGTAACGTTTATATATTACGTTAGGGTTGTTGTTATAGTACAAGAAAAATTATTATTAAACTAATTTATCCAACACTTGATGGCTAAAGAAGAACACATAAAATCACTCATCGAGCTTAACACCATCAGAAGACAACGAACGTTTATCTCACAAGTCAAATTGGCCACATTAGCTGAATACAGACGAAGCCATATCTGAACTAAACAAAAGTAAACTAACCACTACCGGCACTCTAGAGCAATAGAGATACCGCTTGGTTAGGTATATAAAAGGTCAGTGGTTGCCGGAAGATTTCTTTGTAAATCTTAACGAGTCTTTTACCGTATTACACACCAAAAACATGGCTAGTGATGACAATAAGAACCGTAGAAAGCCATTCTTTAAGCCTGGTCAGTTTAGGGGAGAAATTCACAAAAACATAGACCTGTTTTTTAAGCGATACAAGAGGGCCAGCATCATAAATGAATGGACCGATGAAGAAAAAGTTCAATTTTTACCAGCCATTTTGGAAGGTATGGCTTTACACTTCTTTAAAAATCTAGAAGAAACACTGTCAAATCAAGTGGGAAGATTTGGAGTATAAAATAAGGTTGGAATTTGAACCAACAGTTCAAACAGGCATGTTAAGAATGATTTTACAAAAACGCCATCAACAACCGAACGAATCCGTAAGCGCTTATTTAAATGAAGCTGAAGCTTTATGCTTACGAATAAACAAGAACATGTCACAAGAAGAAAAAGTACATCTTATTATGAAGGGATTACGCCCCAACATTTTAAGAATGGTATCTATGTTGGACAATGATACCTTGGACAATCTAAAAATGAATATAAGAAAATGGGAGACTACAGAATTTCTCATAGAAGGCGATAAAAGCATATCTACTTTAGAAATTAAAACAGACATTCTCAAGGAGCAAATCCAGCATATGTCTAACAAGAGGACCTGAGGCGCTGGTTTAGGCCGGTGCCTTAGGTTCTTGTTTTTGTGTTATGTTTTTGTTTTGTGAGTTATTTTGCCAACTCTCCCTAACGGTTCCCACTTTGGGATCCGGTTAACGGGAGGGGGCCACACCACATTGCGAATCAGTTCTTGATTAATATCGAGCTAATTCACAACGTGGTGGCGTGAGTTATATAGACGACATGGGCCGCCCTGAAGTAATGCCGACTGTGAATAATAAAAAAAGATTTGCTGTGGGTGGCGGAAACGCTGATGGTTCCGACCTTGGCGGCACTCGTTGTCTGAAACGCCCGTTTGCGTCGCGATCGTTGTGACGGTGATTTTGACGGGTCTGGTCCAGACGTTCCTACACCTGTTGCCTTGGTTGGTGAACGGGAGGAAATCCTTATGCCCGCGGTCGTGTAGGACCATCTCTCCGTCATGGATTCTGTCCAGTTCCAGTATGATCCATCAGAACTCTGTCGAAATCTGGCCAGAGGAGAGTTTGGCTTCATAGCTCCCACATTTCGGTTCGTCGCATCAGCGAAAGGTTCTCCTATAAGAGCAGCTGCCTGGTGCAGTAGGCTGCTGTTACAGCTTCTAGTTGGCGGGATGGATGAAACTTCCGGGCTTCCCCTAGCTGCTAGTTATCGGACATTCTATAAAAGACAATAGTTGTTAGGATTACCTCCTGAGGTATCGTCATGTTTCAGGGCAGTAACATGCAGCTTCAACTGACGCTCTCCTTTGGTTGCACACACTCCCTCGCCTAATCTTTACTATTATTGCACGGAGCTCAGCCATTTATGAGCAAAGCTGGCATGAAACTTTTTATCCGTACTAGATATGCGTGGTATTACATCTAATCCCATTCCTCAAAGCGTTTGCAGTGATTTTTGGGGAACGAATTGTTACCAGTGTCGTTTTTACTGAAAGATGACCCGAAATTTTGAGTGGATTTTCCTCCCCCCGGAAATTTTAATTTTCCCACCAAAGATAGTACAGTTTTCGGTAATCACATTGGAGTTATTGTTATTCTTTGGTTTTTTGGGGGAAATTGTTGTTTTTTCGGTAAAGATTCGGTGTAATCCTTTTTCTGTCTTGTTATTTCTTCTTGTTTCAGGTTGTCATTCTGTGAGTCCGGTTGTTTACCCGTATAAATAATGTCCAGCATCCAATCGCCGGGAGCTTTGGCTTCTCGACCAAAGAGCGAGTGCTTCCTGTTAGCCTGTTCCAACGATTTCTTATTAAAAAAAGTATATTTGGAATACAGCTGTTCCAGTGACTATTTATATTGTCAATCAAAACTGTAAGAACACCTTTTTCAAATCTTAATTTCGGCGTACTACTGGGTTTGCTCTTGGATGGTAAATTGACGTTGTCCATCATTTTGTGCCTCACTTCTCCAGTGCTTTCTCCATTGTTTTGGAAACGAACTGTGATTCATTGTCTGAGAGAAGTACTCTAGCATTCTTCATATATCTTCTGAAAATTCCCTTTCCGGAATAACCATCTTCGGTTCAGTTTTCCGTTTGACTGTCTGTTTTCTCCAACATACCGTTGCTCTTCTTTCTGTACCCACATGGATTGTACAGGCTTGATAGTCCCAAGCCACTTCTTGTTTCATTAAGAAGTCATGATCTAGTACAACGTCACCTATAAGATGATCGAGTACCGTGGCTCTGAATTGTACTACAATGTCAGACATATGTGCTGTAAACTCAACGTATTAATGAACTTGCAAAGTTCGACTGTCAACCAATATGTCAGATTTCATTGGGTTCCGAGTGATACCAGT